CCCGCCGCCCACACCTCTCTCTTCCCCGGCCGCATGACGGGCCAAGAGTTGGCTGGGAGATTCAAGGATCCCGTCACAAGACCTCCTTAGGCCTCTGCTAGAGGCTAGGATCCAGGGGAGGGAGGGGGGCACCGTTTTTCTCGTGTTTTTTCCGCGTTGCCCAATGGAATTCCGCATCATCGACCATTCTGTTTCCATTTATTCTTGATGATCATGGGCCTATGTATCGTGCGTACGCTGCAGCGAGGCCCTCTCATTACGCGGTAGAGTTACGCAGAAGCTGCGCGCTTCCTTCGGGTCGCATTCAGGGGTCCGAGGGTCCATCGATCACGACTGCCGAGCACATGAACATGCGCAGTATCCGTAAGGTGCCTAAGGGAAGCAGGCCTGTCAGCACTTGGTGAGGCCAGAGGCGACGGTTGGTTGCCAGCTGCTGTCCAGCACTGCCAGCGCAGCAGCCAACTCTCCCGAGGCAGCGCAGACACATCATCACAAGGGAGCCCTGTTGGGGGATGTGCTATTGACAGGGCATACCATTACCCATCAACACCACCGTCTGGTCTCTTTTCCGTCTCTTGTGCTGCTCTGGGAGGTGCCCCTTGTGCAATTGTGTCATTGTGTTTCCCAGTCAGGCATGTTCCTACCGATGAACCAGCAAAGAGGAACCCCCTGTTCCCGAAGGACCCCTGCTTCACAGCCTTTTGCTCATTCCATTTTGCACATTGTCGGTAGGACCACCTGCCATTTGAGAGGTTAATTCGTTGTCAATGTCACTTGTCAGGCTCAGGCCCTTCCCTGGTGTCCACTTGTTTTCTTTCATTTCATCTATGTCCTTTTTATACTAGCCCGTCGGCTTCCTCTCCAGACTCCGACGGTGGGGATGTAGGAACCTCCGGGACAGAAGGGAGAGGGCGGCGAGGAAAAGAGGGGATTCATTACCTGATGGGAAAAAAGCGCGAAAAGTGAGCGAGGAAGAGAGAAAAAAAAACAGTTGCCGCGCCACCATGCTGGAGACGCTATTACGAGTGGCTTTTCTGTTAGCACCCGTCGGCCGACACGCTTAGGTACCTGCTAATAAGTGCTTGCTTGCCTAGGTACATTACCTGGGAGGTGCAGAGGAGATCACCGAATACAGCAGGAGATACGTATTTACGGTTAGCAGGTGCTAGGGTCGACTAGACCGCATCTGATCTTCCCGCACCCTCCGCCTGCTCGGTTATCCTCTGCACTCTTTGCTGTGCGCTACTGCTTGTACCTCTCAGCAGGTCTCGTAATAAACCGTTTCCTGTGTCTCTGGCCGCTGGTGACTTGTTACGAGCTTTTCATTCCACCGTGTTTCGCCGTGGTGGCACACACACACTCTCGAACCTTTCCTGGACCTCCCTCCCTCGAAGCCAGACGACGTCGCTTCACACTTTTCCACCCTCATCACCAACCTTTCCAACTATCGTCGACATCCATCCGGATCTCTCTTTTGTCCAGCAAACACACCCCCAGGTTGCTCCCTCTCGCCATTGAGCGAACCTACCGCAGCCATGCGTCTCGGATCGGCCGGCCTCCTGGCCCTGCTCTGGTCCTTTAGCAGCAGCAACATCGCGACAGCATCACCACTCGCCGACGACGCCAAAGCCACGCCGGGCCTCCGCCCCAGACAGGGGTCCGGCACAGGCTCAACACCAACATCGACGACCCCCGTGGCATCGACGCCCACGACGAGCGAAGCAGCAGAGGCGACGACGACAATCACAGACACAGTCACCGTCGGCGGCGGCAGCGGAGGCACCGTCACCGTCACGTCCAACTTCCTCCGCACAGTCATCACCACCGTCGTCGTCACCACCACCACCTTCGAGACCACCACCGTCACCAGCAACGACGTCGCGACCGCCACCCTGACCGAGTACGTCACCTCCACCATCCTCGCGAAGCGCTGGATCAACTTCCTCCCCGCCGAGACCGCCCCCTTCGCCGCCCCCGCCGCCCAAATCACCCCCGCGGCCGACCTGCGCAAGCGCGCCGTTATCGAGAAGCGCGCCATCGTCACCGTCTTCGTCACCGTCACGGGCACTGCCGGCGCCGACGCGACAGTCACCAACGTCCGCACCAGCACTGTCGTCCGCACCACCACCTCCAACCTCGTTCAGACCTCCACCATCATCAGCACCCTCTTCAACAACGCCCAGACCACAATCACCGTCACTTCGACTCTGCTCGTCACCTCCACCTCGGTCGACACCACCTCCGCCGCCACCGTCGACACCGGCCCGACGACAGGCAACATCGCCACCGCAACGGACAGCGGCACCTCCGCGACAGGCTCAAGCGACAGCGGCAGCGGCGACGGCGGCCTCTCCACGGGCGCAAAGGCCGGAATCGGCGCGGGCGTCGGCGTCGTCGGCCTCGCGCTCCTCCTCGGCATCGGCTGGTGGCTCTACAAGCGCCACAAGGCCAACCGCCCCAGCGCCGCCGACCTCGCCGACATGCGCGCCTACGACCCCAACGGCCCGTCCTACGACCACGGCCACGGCATGTCCGAGACGGGAGCCGGCCTCGGCGCAGCTGCCGCCACCACCACGCCGACTCACAGGCGCCAGCCCGTGCCGCGCAAGAGCAGCCAGCTGTCGCCGCCCACGCAGAGCGTCAGCCCGATGTCGAACCAGACGGTCTCGCCCGCCAACGACTACGGCTCCGGATACGCGAGGCCGGCGAACGGGGCGAACGAGCTGGGCGGCACGCGGATCCTCCCGCCTGAGATGGGCGGCGACGAGGTTGTCGAGATGGGCGACGGGCAGCCCAGACCGCAGCCGCCTCAGCAGCAACGACAGCACATGACGTCGTTCCAGTCTGGGCCGGTGCCGGATGTGTACGAGATGCCTGCCCAGAACTATCGATAATGCAAGTGTGTGTATTTTGCGTACTTTTTCTTTTGTGGCAGATTTGAAAGGTGGGGAGATGGGGGTTTGTAAATATATACATAAAGGCTATTACTTGGATTTTGTTTTAGGATACTGAAGCGTTGCATTGAAGCTTTTGCCTTGCCTTGGGCACGGGGCAGGAAGGCAGGCTGGCGGCAGATGGAAGCAAGGCCGCACAGGAAGCATTTTTCATTTGAGAGGGTTCATAGTTGGGGTTCAAAACTCTCTCCCGGTAGATAATCTTCGTAATGTGTACGAGGAAGCATGGCAATGCGAATTGCATGATGGGTAAAACATAAGAGTGTTTTATATGTGAAGACTTTTGACGTTTGCGCAAGTTGTCTTGGATCTTGAAGAGCGCGACGTTGGCGCCATGGAATGATGTGCGTCGTTAGCTCTGCCGGTGGGAGGGGGGGGGGGTGGGAGGGGGGGGGCAGCTCCAGCTCGCATACTTGCATGTTCGCATTGTGGACGTCGACGACGACGCAGTGTCAGCACCTTGGTCTCACGCCTTATCTCTTGGCACCATACAGCATCTTTGCGTGACAAGGGGAGATGAGAGAGCTAAGAGTCTTCTGTGTGACGTTGAAAAATGCACTTGACGAGGACATGAGTTGAGTTTGGGGGGAGCGTGGCTGTTATGGGTACATCCCGGCGAGGTGTCGTTCATCCCAAGTTTTACTGTTTTGGGTTGTCAATGGTTGTGTCCCTTGGTTTTTGAAAACGCATCCTGGGGAAAGAAGTTGACAGGCTCTTGGTAATCATTCGATATCTTGTGGTTGCGTGCCGATGCGACCCTGCTGTGTTATGAAGAGCTTCACATGAGCCGCCAAGACTTCTGGTCGACAGCTCCGATAGCCCGACAGGCGGGTTGCCAACGGGACTTGCTACCGGGGACTCATTCTGTCCCGCCGTAGAGGTATTGCGAGACGCGGAAGTCACTATCATTCTTCCCGATGCCATCGCCCATCGGATCTGAAAGTTCCAGAAGACCGTCCATGTTTCGTCAGCACGCGGAACCATCTTGTTATTGAAGGTGTGCCATTTGTCAGTCCGGACCCGAGCCTTCGGCGGTATTTCTGCCGACTGCAATGCTTCATGTAAGCCAAGCCTTTTGATGGTCATGAACGTCCACCCTGGACGCAACACACCCACTCTTCCCCTTCCCCCGATGGTTCAAACAATGACAGAAACACTCGCCAAAGAGCCCCTCCTTCAGGGAGCGGTGGCACCAGGTCGGGTATCTCCTACGGTGCGGGCGAATTGGGGCGCAAGTGCAACGGCGGGTGCACAGAGTGGGCGGCGGGCAATGGAGAAAAAAAAAAAAAAAACACTGCGTAAGCTCGAACCGAACAAGCACAAGCACCCCTGTTGCGGTTGTTTCTGTCTTCTCTTAGCTGCAGCTCCGAATGGGTTCCAGACCCCGGGGGGCAGCAAAGTCAGGATCTTATCTGCAATGTCTTGGTTTCTGAAGAAAGATACCGCGGGGGCAAGGCAAGGCGGGGAGTAGACCGAGGAACCATTTGATAGTTATCGTCTTCTGCCATCCAGAATTCCAACCCTCTTTGTTACAACAGTCTCGCCTTCTCTGAAGTCTTCAATCCTGACTCATGCAAGCGTCTTTCACGAGTTGAGTTGTTTTTCGCCCCAGCCAGCCACTGTCTTAGGCGGGTAATTACAAACATCGTGCCATAGTCTCTGTCTAGTCAACCCAACCCCGCCGACATAGGAACTGGAGGGGTCTACAGTCGACGAACACTGCAGAAGGGGAAAATCTCAATCGTCCCATGCACCGCGCCCGCGTGTAATATCTGCACGACACCCCGCCATCTTCAACGGCACCACCCCCGCCGGCCGCATCATCCTGCCCAGCGCGAGGTCTCATTGACGCATCGGGATTGAGTGACGACCAGCCTGTCGGAATCCAAGGGAGCGTCGAGTCAACGTCAACCCTTCCACGCAGACAGACTCTTGCAACCGCCAAACTCTGACAACGAAACTTTTGCGCAATTGACGCAGGGTTATTGCTGGTCTGCAACCAAGAGTCATTCGAACCTCTTTCACCTCCACGGAAACACCGCCGGCATGGACGCCGCGAAGAAGCACGCCGACGCCGGGCCCGGCGCAAGCTCGCCCGAGATCGACGCCCGGGACCTAGAGCCCGTCGACAACGACCTGGCGTTGCGGGAGAAGGCGCTGGTCAGAAAACTGGACGCGCGCATCATTCCCCTTGTCATGCTCCTCTACCTCTTAAGTTTCCTAGACCGGTGAGTCTGCATCCCTTGCCCGCATGCACCTCTCTTACCCGAACAGCGTCAACATCGGCAACGCACGCCTCTACAACCTCGAGTCCGACCTCAACCTCCAAGGAAACCAGTTCCAGGTCGCCGTCTCCATCCTCTTCGTGACCTACATCATCTTCGAGGTCCCCTCCAACCTCGTCCTCAAGCTCTTCACGCCCTCCCGCTGGATCGCCTTCATCACCGTCGCCTGGGGCATCATCGCCACCCTCACGGGGCTGGTCGACTCCTACGGCGCCCTCATCGCCTGCCGCCTGCTCCTCGGCGCCGTCGAGGCCGGCCTCTTCCCCGGGCTGAACGTCTACCTCACCTTCTTCTACAGCAAGCATGAGCTCGCGCTGCGCGTGGGGTATCTCTTCGTCAGCGCGGCCATCGCGGGCGGGCTGGGCGGGCTGCTGGCTTATGGGATCGGGCACATGGAGGGCGTGGCCGGGCTGAGCGGGTGGCGGTGGATTATGATTATCGAGGGCCTGCCGACGGTCGTGCTTGGTGTTGTGACGTTCTTTTTGCTGCCGAATGATGCTGCGAGTGCGAGTTTCCTGAGCGAGGAGGAGAAGAGGCTGATGGTGGAGCGGCGGGGGCGGGAGTACGGCAACACGAGCAGCGCGCAGGAGTTCAGCCGCGAGGACATGTGGAAGGCCTTCAAGGACTGGAAGGTCTGGGTGTTTTGCGTGGCGCAGTTTGGCGTGGATACCATGCTCTACGGTGAGTGTGCTGCCGGAAGACTGGTGTAGCTGGTGGCTGACTGCGAAAAACAGGGTTCTCGACTTTCCTCCCGACGATCATCAACGGCCTTGGCACCTGGACCGTCGCGCAGGTGCAGCTCCTCACGGTGCCGTGCTACGCCCTTGGCGTGGTGGTGTACATGACCGCGGCCTTCCTGTCGGACCGCAAGCAGTTGCGCGGGCTGTTCTGCGTCGTCTTCGGGAGCGTCAGCGTGATCGGGTACGCCATCCTCATCTCGGACACGTCGTCTGGGGTGCATTACTTTGGGTGCTTCCTGGTGGCGGCCGGGTTGTACGTCGTCGTCGGACTGCCGCTGGCTTGGGTGAGCCTTTCCCTCTTACAGAGTGCGTGCGCTTCTGGGCTAACGAGATGTTTCCAGCTGCCGAATAACTCGCCGAGATACGGCAAGAGGACGACTGCGAGCGGGATGCAGCTGACGATTGGGAACTGTTCTGGGGTGATGTCGTCTTTCATCTAGTGGGTACCTCGGCCGTCTAAGTGAGAGGCAGGTAGCAACTAACAAACTGATAGCCAAGCAATCGATAAGCCCAGGTACATCAGGGGCCACGCGGTGACGCTGAGCATGGTCGGAATGGGGACGTGCTTGTACGGCTTCATGTGGTTCTGGTACTGGAGGGCTAACAAGCAGCGGGAGGCCGGTCTTGCGGAGGATAAGTATCGTGATCTGTCTGATGACGAGCTTGCGGAGCTTGGGGATGAGAGTCCGCGGTTCAGATACACTATTTGAGACCAAATGATCACGAATTGAGGCCGAAAAACAACGGTGCGCACCCGTCTGGGCAAAGCACTTGAAAAGGCATTTGAGATGATGGGCTAGACCAGTCGATGTTGCCAGCGAATAAAAGATACCCCTCCTTTGGGATAAAGCTTGAAATAATCAAGAACACTTCCCGCACACTATGAACTCAACTTGTATGCCTGCAATTGTTAAACATTCGTCAAAAAGAACCTGCTCCTCCGGCTTGTGCACGAAACAGATTCTCACAAAAACGAAAAATGAAAGGGACGAGACTCGAACTCGCGCGGGTTGCCCCACCAGGAAACAGATGTTAAGCTGACCTTAACCTGGCGCCATAACCAACTCGGCCACCCTTCCGTGGAGGATCCGGAGGATCTGATTGGTTGCGTGGTCTCGCAACTTCTCACACCATGGCTCTAGCACACAATATGAGTGGACCTAACACAGAAGAAACTCGCATGGCTGATGCCACGGCTGACTTCCATTGAGCACATAAAGTCTTCCTGCTGGGCCTAGCTACAGTGACATCCTCAACGCAATGAGCAGTGATAGCATAACACAACCGCGTCGTCCCGAACTCAAACCTGCTCTCCCAGCCAGTCAACGTTGTCCATTTCTTGCCAATTCTCACCACTCGAAGAAACTCACAGGCACGCCGTGAGAGACAAACTTGAGGATTCGCCGCCCAGCAACGTCTCCACCACCACCGGCAGCAACGAGAAACGGCCAAAAGTGTTCCGCCTCGGCTTGCAGGTGAGAAACATAGCTCGACGGGATGTCTCGCCAGCTCTGAAGGGCCTTCTCACGAGCCTTTGCATCGGGAATTGCTGCCACTGATTTGAGGTAGTCCTCAAACTCCTCGGCCCCGGGGGGAAGGAAGTTCGCTAGAGCCTTCGAGCACGGCCATCGTAGTGTCAAAGTCGTGATACGACCCGCCGCTCCCCATGATCGCGTACCCATAGTCTCTGAAATACTCCAAGGCGCGACCTAGACGCAGGTTTTTGCGTGTGGCCTCCTTCTCGTCCTTCCCCGTGAGAACAGACACCTGGACAACCGGTATGTCTGCCTCAGGTCGCATGATCTTTAGCGGGACAAAGACGCCGTGGTCAAGGCCACGCTTATGATTGAGGACTGGCTTGAAGCCGCAACCCAGAAGGCGTTGATTGATCTCCACAGCCAATGCTGCGTTTCCGAGGACAGGATAATTGGTCTCGTAGGCCTCGGGCGCAACATGCTTTTGGCCTGCGGCAACAGTCCCGTAGTCGAAATAGAGCCCAGGATCCTCAAGGGCAGTGATTTCAGGTTCGTTGCATTCCCAACGTGCTGAGAGGAGGATGATGCCTTTAACGCCATCAAGCCTGCTTCCTAACTTGGCAACTAGTTGCCGGTATTCCTCAAAGTCCGGGTGGATGAGCGGAAGGGGTCCCGCTCCATGGCTGATGAAAAGGGATGGCGCGCGGATCTGTCCTAGAACTGCCATTATGATAACGAGAGGTGAAATGCGTTTCAAAGGTTTGCTGCTTTGTTGAACGGGTTGTCACAGTTCTTTGGTCTCTTTCAATCTTTCAATAAGTTTATAATGAAGGCGGACATCGCTGGGCTATTTATGGTTTCAGGGCTTTCAGCAAAGCCCATCAGCTTGAATTGCTGGGAGGGTTTGCACTTACGACTGCCGCCCATCTCAGGACCGTCGTGTAGTCTCGGGTGTCCTATTGCAGCCATTCAGATGAGAGCAGCATTGCTGTGAGATCAGCACGGGCACATCACTTGTCCGACACTACCCCGACTGTTGGAATAGTCTTGGCTCTGTCAAAGGCGGGTCAGCAGCGGACTAGCGGCGGACTAGCTCAGCATGCCGCACACCCCGAACATGTTGTCAGCAACTCAACCGTCAACTCCATGAACCCATCAAGGAATCAGACTCGTTTGCGTGAGGTGACGGTCATGACAACTTGATCTCAAAATAAAAACAGTATGTCAGCAAGTGCCTTGGCTTCAAATGCCTGCTATTTGTGCTCGATGAGCAAAAAGAGTTGCGATCGGACACTGCCGTCTTGCAGCCGATGTATAGGGTAAGTAGCAAGGTGTGTTATAGCACGCAGATCAGTTCTGATACCAACCAGTCGCAACATCACGTGTCATTATGGCTGTTCATCCACAGCCCAGCAACCTCCGTCAAATGACTTGAATCCCAAGGAAACCCGAATTGGTCTCGCTTCTTATCTGGGACCGAATGTTGCGAAGCACCAGGATCCTGACGGTTGGCTGACATCTCATCTTTTCGCCACGCTGAGAATACTCAACCTTCAAATAGAGGGTGTCCTTGATGGTTACTTGAGGTCAATACACGAATGGATCCCCATCATTCACCCAATTAGTTTGAAGGAGCAAGTATCATCATTGCGGAGCAAACCATCTGCCGAGCTCGCTTGTCTTCTCTTACACATTCTGCTCATCACTCCGTCCTTTCCGTCGGCTTCTGGGGAACATCACGAAACGCTCTTGCCGTCGCTATATGACGACTGCAAATCATCATTCTTACTACTGCAGACAAACTCAAGGCGTCACCTAAAGACCGTTCAGTCCGGCTTACTGCTCGCCATATACGAGCAAGGGCGTGCCCTCATGTCTGACGCATACGCCACATTAGCAATTTGTGCTAGTCTCGGCTACATCACCAATCTCCATCAATCCCCATGCTCCGTAACGGCAGCTGACGAAGAGAGACTGCGGGTATGGTGGGCTGTCTGTTTCCTCGACCGACTAGACTTTTACACCAATTGGAAGTCTGAACGAGCATTCCTTGTCCACAACTCCCACATCGGTCGAGCCCTTCCGCGAGAGGACGAGGTATGGAGTACTCACCATGATTTCAGGGACTCATCTCTGCCACTTCTGTCGTTCCCAGCGGATGAAGGCCAGAGATACGGACTTTTCGCTAGCGAGATACAAGCCTTGCATGCATTGCAGTGTGTCATGCAGCTCACAAGAAACCCGTTGGTCCAGCTAGAAACACTCCTGGGCCATGAGTCCTGGAAGCTCGATATGCTGGTACAGAGAAAGATCCGAGAAACATTAACACTATCCTGGAAGAGGCTAGAGCACCAGCATACCGTAGTGACCATATATCTCTTGGAAGTAGACCTTTCTCGCTCCATCCAGACGTGGCAGCTAATCGACAGACAGAGCGCTTAGAGAACTTCACGAAAAAAGACTGACTTGTGCCGGCGGGGAAGAGATCCCTTCCTTCGCCAAAGAGTCATCAATAGCAGCTCTCGAATCAGCCAAAAACATTGCTCAAGACCTGCTTCGCATGGAGAAGACTGTGGATATCCTCGAGCTCAACAGGATGCCCCTCACAGCTGTTATTCTTTTTCATAGGGTTGGACTCGCCGCCATCCTACTGGGAAAACACCATGGTCGAGATACCGGGGATTTGTTGCGAGAAGTGATACAGAGTCTCTCGGACAAGATTGCTAGACGATGGGACGTTGCCAGTGAGTCATGGCGTTTGTTTCTTGACCAATTGATGGACTTTAGACTGACACTCTCAGTTCACATCGCTTCTCAACTCCATGAAGCACTTACTCAGGGTCAAGACACGGGCATGGCTTAGGATTAGAAGGCTGATAGGGTGGGCAACTTCATCTTATTAGAATTGTGAATCACCTCCACTGACTGGATATCCTCTTCAGAATGAAACTCTCGCAGGGTTGAGTGTAAAATTTGGTTCGTATCCTGATTCTTCTTCAAAATAACTGCTTCGTTAATCATAAGTTTTGAAGATTGGTTGGGTAAAGAGATTTTGGCTCAGGACTCAACCACCCTGTCATAAGACTTAATGAAACTACCACGTCTGTCGAGTCCAAGAACATACGTTGCCTCAAATGAGAAAAAAGTGCTGAAGATGGCGAACAGCGCACGCTGTCTGAATACTAGGCGAGGACGTCGTTGAGTCTTCGTTCCAACTTTGAGAAAGCCAGCAACTCTGAGCCCGCAATTATTCCAATATTTCTTAAGCGATGGGACTTCGGTTCACTACTCCACATGAAGCGCACGAGGCCGATGTGAGTGCCATTGCAGAATGCCACGTCAAGTTGTGGCCCTCGTCCCTTTCTGAAAAACCCCTGATACCGCACTCTGTAGCCCATCCGCTAGGCAAGGGTCGCCACCTCTCCATTGGCTTCCTCGCATCGTGCGAGTGCCGCAATCGCCATGTCCCCGCCAATCCATTGGGTGAACATCCCATGTTCCCACGGAGCGCAAAGTGGACTCTGAGAAAAAGCACACTAGACCCCCGGAGCATTCTGCAATCATTTCTTCAACGGAGGGGGGATTACGTGGCACAAGGCAGATCAACAGCTGCATTCTCGGACATTTTCACCGCAGGAGCTGTTTAAATAAAGAGTCCGACATGCTCGCCAAGACCGCTCGCGTTACACACGCCATGCGCCGCATCGCAACCTCACAACCATGGCCGAATTCCTGATCGCGGATGAAGACCTCGCCGGCGTCAAGGGCAAGGTGGTCATCGTCACCGGCGGCTCTTCGGGCATCGGCCTCGCCACCGTCACGACCCTCCTCGCCCACGGCGCCTCCGTCGTCAACGCCGACATCCAGCCCCCGCCCCAGCAGCATGAGGCGGCGTCTTACACGTTCGTCAAGACGGACGTGACGCTCTGGGCGGACCAAATCGCGCTGTTTAAGAAGACCAAGGAGGTCTACGGGCGCGTGGACCATGTCTTCGCCAACGCTGGCATGGGGCCCAATGCCAACTACCTCTCCACCGAGGTCGACGAGAACGGCGATCTGAAGGAGCCGTCGCACGCGCTGTTGGATGTTAGCTTGAAGGGCGTGATGCACACGGCCACGATCGCTATCTTCCACATGCGGCAGCAGGCCGAGGGCGGGAGCATCGTCATCAACGGCTCCACGACGGGTTTGCAACGACTCCGCGCCGTGGACTACTGTAAGCCCCTCCCCTCTCTACAACTCCTAAAACTCCCAGACTGACCATATGCCGAAGCCACCGCCAAACACGCCGTGCTCGGCTTCGGGCGCGGCCTCTTCTCCCTGCTCGGCGCCGCCAGCCTGCCCATCAGAGTCAACACGCTGGCGCCCACGTGGACGGACAGCAGCGTGCTCCCTGACCTGAAGGGGCTGATGAAGAAGATCGACGTCGAGCTGCAGCCCGCGGAGGCCGTCGCGCGCGGCGCGGCGCTGCTGATGGCGGACGCGTCCCGCAACGGGCAGGTCATCCACGTCCAGCTGGGCAAGTACAAGGAGATTGACGAGAGCGTGTTGCTGCCTGCGTTTGAGTCGATCAAGGGCCCGGATTACCCCGGTGAGGACGAGGTCTTCCGGCGGTTGCAGGAGGTGTTGTTCGCGGGATGAAGTCTGAAGGGCAATCTAATAATTTGTGGAATCATGAGACGAGAACGAGATTATGACATTGACAAGTTTTCAAGTCCTTCATCCGCGGCGGGGTCGCTCAGCCGTCATCGTTCAAGGGTGAGAGTATGTGTCCAAACCCAAGAGGGCAAAAGCTGGAGGGTGAATCATTCTCCGTCGGTCTAGCTCGAACTGCCTTGGTGGGGACAACCTGAAATCTATATTCAATTGTAGTCAGAGGCTGAATGGAAGATCGGAAGAAGCCGATACCGCGTCGTGCAAGCTATGTTTAAACGGCACAGGGTTATTCAATCTCTGCTTTGAGATTGGCCACTGCTTGCAAACGAGCCGTTACGTTGACACCAACGCGGCCGGCTTTCCAGGAGAGGGCATTTTTCATGCGCCGAACCTCGTTTCAGCAAGCACAAGTCCAACTGCCTGCTCCAGTGCCAGACAGGATATTAGACCACACGAGGATGTAACCGCACCTTGCAACGCCTTCGACTCACCAAGACTTTCAAAGTGTAGACCGCAAGTGAGAAAACCAACGCGATTTTCTGCGTCACCAGCTTCCGTGTCATAGATTAACGCAAGTAGCATCATTTCACGAATTGAGTCACGGCAGTAACGTGTATGAGAGAGAATAATGACGTTGCCATTCCGAATGCTCAGACAACTATCTAGCCCACTAGTCCCAGCACGAAGCTGAACCAGTCCAAAAGCCTTCCAGTCCGTCTAGCGATTCTCTCCCAACCTTTTTTTCCAATATTTTCTTGTCGTTGTGAGCACCAAAATATGTTCTCCCCTCCGAAAACCTTGGCAATACCAGCTATTCGTCCCAAGATCTGCCTTTGCAGGCGTCTCCGAGACTTCAGTTGGTCGCCAGATCGAAGGAGCCAAACATCATAATGATACTCGGGTATTTCTGCGGTCGTGCGTCGAGCCCGCTCTCGCGAAAGAAGCAGGGTATAGGCGTAGAATACGTAACGGATGGCAACCGCCACCGCTACCAAGAAAGACATCTTGGTTGTCGACCAACGACAACGACGCTCCTCCTATCCCGGACGAGGTGTCTTCCAGCCAAAGTCTCCCCCTGCCAAAGAAAATGCATGGATGAGATGGGGAACCATGCCCCGACAGACGCCGTTTGGATGCCAAGTCACCCCGACCGCCCTCCGTTTCGTATCCCAACATTCAAGTCGTCTCCGCGATTGATTGATTAATACTCAAAACACACCGCGGCGCTCAAACCAGTCGATGAGCTACCGGACCGCCCCGTCCTCCCGCCCTCGTGCCACGAGGACCAACTCCACTTTTTTCCCCAGCAAAATCAAATATGGCCGTCTTCCATGCGAACGCCATCCCGGGGCTGATGCCGTTCAGCCGCTTGTTGACCCCCAAAACGCCGTCGTTAAAAGAAGAACCAACATGACATGAAAAGATGGGATCGGAATGTTCCACACCATCAAAGAGCCTCGTTCAGGACCAGACGCCACGCCCTGCGGTAGTTGTTGTTTTTCGTCCCATGTGTTACCCGTCGTCTCGTTCTGTTGTCTCCAGACACCACGCAATTCCAGCTCATGTTGAAAATGCTGCCGTCAGAAGGCCAAAGGAAAGGAAAAAGAAGTCAAACAAAAGACCAGTAAGATCCGAGGGGTATGGTACAGGCCAAAGTTTGCGAATATGTAACGAAGCTTTTGCTGCTTGGCGACGAGTGGCGGGGGTTGATTGGTGTTTTCGTTTTCGTGATCGTTGAGTAGTGTGAGAGAATGTGGAAGCTCGTGTGTGAGACGCCCGACCCAGTCTAGTCGTGCCTTGCCGCCTTCAAAACCAGGGAAAAGAAAATATGTACAATCCAACAGTAGACGCCGTCGCGTGTTCCGTGCGACGTATACTCCATAACGCCTTTCTATAATGGAGAAGATAGCACGCCTGCCTAGGACGCCTGTCCTTGGGGCTGCTGGGCGTGGTGGCCGCCTCCACGTCCCCGACCACCGTAGCCGCCGCGGCCCTGGCCACGGTAACCGCCACGACCGCGTCCGCGGCCTCTGCCGCCGCCCTGGTAGCCGTTCTGTTGTTGGGGGTTCTGGGTCTGCCAGTTGCCAGGGGCGGGCTGCTGACCCTGAAGGAGCTGTTGAGGAGCCGGAAGCTGGCCCTGGGGACCGGGCTGGCCGGTCTTGAAGTTGGAGATGGGTCTGGGGATGGACTCGGGGTTCTCGTAGACGTAGAGAGACTTGTCGATGCTAGCGGGAATGGGCTGGATCTCGGTGCCGAGATCCTTCTCAATGTTATAGAGGTTGAACCTGTCATCCCAGTTGATCAGGTTGATGGCCAGACCCAAGTGGCCATAGCGACCGGAGCGACCGATGCGATGAAGGTAGGTCTCGGCGTTCTTGGGGAAGTCGAAGTTGATGACAACGTTGACGGCCTGAATATCGATACCACGGGTGAGGAGATCGGAGCAAACAAGATTTCGGCAAACGCCATTGCGGAAGTCGTGGAAGACACGATTTCTCGCTTGCTGGGCCATCTTGGCGTGACTGTAGAAGCACGAGTAGCCCAGCTCGGTAATCTTCTTGGCGAGCAGCTCGACACGGTTGGTCGAGTTGCAGAAGATGATGGATTGGTTGATTTGCAGCTTGGAGAAGAGGGTGTTGAGGCAGTGCACCTTCTGCTTCTCTTCGACGAAGGCGTAGTATTGGGTGATACCGCGGAGGGTGAGTTCGTCCATCAGGTTGATTTCGTAGGGGCTGACCATGTTCTTGTCGGAGAAGTCCTTGACGGACAGAGGGAACGTGGCGGAGAAGAGCATGACCTGGCGATCCTTGGGGTGGAACTGGAGAAGCTGTTCGATGACGGGGGTGAATTCGATGGAAAGAAGCTTGTCGGCTTCGTCCATGATGAACATGGGGCATTCGCTGAGGTCGGCAACGTTCTTGCCGGCGAGATCGAGGATTCTTCCAGGAGTACCGACCACAATATGGACTGGATCCTGGAGACGGATGATATCGTCGCGGAGGCCAGTGCCTCCAGTGGTGACCATGACGTTGATTCCGAGGTGCTTGCCGAGGGTTTTGCAGACTTGTGATGTTTGCATGGCGAGTTCACGAGTGGGGACGAGGATGAGGGCTTGGATCTTGGAGACCTTGGGGTTGATCTTTTCGAGGGCGGGGATGACGAAAGCTGCAGTCTTGCCGGTGCCGTTCTTTGCACGAGCGAGGATGTCGCGGCCGGTGAGGGCAACGGGGATGGCCTCTTCTTGGATGGGGGACGGCTTCTCGAATCCAGCCTCGAAGATGCCCATCAACAGATCTCTCTTCAATTGGAAGTTCTCAAACTCCAGGCCCTTCGTGTTCGTGACATCCTGGATTTTGATATGAATACCTGGCAGCAAACACGACAGCGCAGCGGATACATACCTCGGTTTGATGTCTGCTGTCCTTGGCGGGGAGCTTCAAGTTCTTCTTCCAGTCTTCAGGTGCGGCACCATCGCTAGGCTAGTCAGTCCACGTACTCTTTGCAGATGGTGGGAGAGGTTTACGAACCCCAAGGACGTCGCCTTAAGCTTGTCTGCGAGTGCTTCCGCCATTTGAAAGTGTGAATATGGGATATGTGCCTAATGGCGAAGAGGGGAGGATCGCGAGGGAGATGGCAGTCGTGGAGGGGAGTTGCGCAAAAGGGCTTTTGCTTTCCCCACTTTGCGGTGAATCGAGGGGCGAGTCGGACTCGACGAGTGTCAGGTCAGGGTGGGATTATTCGGCGACAAAGAAATGTGTCGCTCGAAATAGGATGTTCGGATGAAGGTCTTGAGAAAGCGAACAGCAGTCGCGTGGTTGATCGTCTGGATTCCGTGTCCGGAGGTTGAGGTGGTGGTGGTGGATTTCGGCCGGACTCTAGGAGTTGGGAGGTGCACGGATTGCAGGATTGAGAGAGGGGTGGTGAGGTGGTTGAGTGCGCGATTTCGATTGTTCTTGTGATTGTCGTTTGTTGACTCGGGATACTGAAACAGCAAAAATGTGTTTCGTCCACGAGAAGAGCGCGAGAGTGGTTGTTTGGTGGTGGATTGCGTGGAGATGTGTGGTTATGTGGGAGGAGAGGGAAGAAGCAAGTTTGTGGTGACTGGACCGAAGCCGTGGGCCGTGGGCCGTGGGCGTGGGCGTGGCACTCAGCGCCAGGTCACTCACTAGGTACCTTACTCACTGTGCGTCGTGTGGTGCGGTGCGGTGCGGTGCGCCTCACCTTGCCTTCTGGGGCAGGACCCCTTGCCTATGCGAGGTAGCGGGAAGGTGGGTCCACGTGACCTGCCTGACGTCGGGTGAATTGATACTCAAGTGATGCTGGTCAAGGGGCTTGCCTGGAAGTTGGATAACGAATGTCAATATCAAGGTATGAGATGTAACGGGGGATGGTGTTTGGATCTCAGAAGGACTAATTCATGTTTGTGATTCGTGCTGCTCTGTTCTGCTCCTGCCTCCAATGGCCTCCCTACGTCAAGGTCAGGAAGAGGGGCATCGGCTTGTACCTTCACCGGAAGCTCCTGCCCTCTGCCATTGGTTCCACACCGAGCTCACCCCGAGCCACTTCCCTCAGCCGATTGGCTGCCCCTTCCCCGCCCGATCGCTCCTGCAGCGGAGCTATCGGATCGATAACAGGAGCACTGGTCACTGAAGAGCAGGTGCGCGCCATTGCTACTCACTGCCACACTGAGCACTGAGCATGAATGCGCCCGATACTTGGAGAGAGTCGAACCACTCAAGTCCCCGAACTCGTCCTTTGTACCTATCCTTCTCACAAACAATCGCCGAGCAACCTCTACAAAGCTCCGAGGTCCGCTCAAACAATGACATCCCAAGATCCTCCGCAACCTCCCTGAATACCACTTATTTGCACCACAGATCCTAACCAGCATGAAGACGTCCGCCTTTGCAATCTGCTCCTCCTCCAACGCCTTGAACCTCTTCGCCGTCCCCGCATCGTCAATAACGTCACCACCCCGACGCCCGAACCGCGAACAACAAGCAACCCCTCGTCCACGACAAAGGCCGTCTTCACGATGCTACGCAACAGCAACCACCAACCCCTCCAGCGACGGCAGTAAAAGCTGCCCCGCCTGGCCAACAACACCTAATCCGACACCCTACGATATCTTTGCAATTCATAAATCGGCCCCCTACACCAAGTCCCGTTTTGCCCAGCTCGTCAAGCAGTACCACCCTGACAAGCACGCCTCAAACCCTCTCGACGCCTTGCCCGCAGCCACTCGTCTAGAACGCTACCGCCTCGTCGTCCTCGCAAATGACATCCTCTCTAGTCCAGACAGACGCCGCGCCTACGACTCGTGGGGCGCGGGCTGGCATCTACCCGGCACCGGCGCGGACGACACCCGTGATATTCACGAGATGTACCGTGAAGCCGACCGCAGATGGCGCCACAGCCCGAATAACCCGGGCATGAATGCCACCTGGGAAGACTGGGAGAAATGGCACGACAGAAATGAGGGCAAGGAAAAGCAGCAGCCCCTGTACATGTCCAATGCAAGTTTCGCGGCCCTGGTGCTGGCAGCGCTGGCGGTCGGGACGGTAGCGCAGACGACTCGCATGGATAATCACTCTGCGGTCTTTCTTGAAAAGAGGGCGCTACACGAGGCGAATATTAGTGAGGGCTTGAGGAGGCAGAACGCCGCGGTGGCTGGCAAGGGGCGAGAGGAGAGGATCGAGAGGTTCCTGCGGGAGAGAGAGAACATTAATTACGGATTCGCACCGGAGACGATTGGCGGGAGGCCTAGCCCTGGTACGAAGTAGCTCTCGTATTATCGAGATGATGTCATGATGTATTGTACACTATCAGCGTTCTGAGACGCATTTACATGAGTTTATACAGCGAATCTATCGGAATTTTAGTTCTGGGATGAAGTGTGCTCGGAGATGACCTCCCGCATGATCTTCTCGGCATTGGCAGGATCGATGCGCTCCGGCTGCCCCTGCTGCATCATCTTGCCGACGAGGTACATGAGCTTGCCCTGAGGATACACCTTCTTGGTCACAAACTCCCTGAGAACCTTATCCTCGCCTTCGATAGCCGTCTCAGCCAGTTGGCGGTACTCGGACTCGGAAAGCTCGCGGAACCAGAGGTCCAAACCCTCGATAGCCTCGGTGACGGTCTCAAACTGCTCCAGGTTGTTGAGGTAGAGCGCAATAAGCAGCTCCTTGGCCACTTTGCCCGTGATGCGCTTGTTCCTGAGGTGAAAGAGGATCTCCGAAAGAGCCGTGACAGGAACGGCGGCACATTGCCCATCAGGGGTAATCTCCAGCGTGCGCTCGCTGGCCTCCGGGTCTTTGTCGACGGTCAGCCGGCCGAGCTCGTGGAGCACCCAATTCCCGACGAGCGGCGCGTACGACTGCAGCTGCGGCTGGTCGCCAGCCTCACGGAGCCTTACTCCAAGGTCGTCCACGATTTGGTAAAAATACTCCAGCCTGCCGCCGTCGTCGAGAGACATCAACGACACCGCATCCTTCGCCGTGAGCCCGTAGTCATGGATCAGCTCGTCCAGCTCCACGTCTGGCAATTCCGTCACAGACTCCCTCAAGGCGCTCACGAGGTCCTCCCCAATGACCAACGGCCCGAGATCCGGGTCCGGCATGTACCGGTAATCCACCTCACCCTCCTTCCCGCGCAGCCTCCTCGTGTGCTTCGAGCCCAGCGTCCACCCCCTCGTCTCGCTCTTGATCTCCTCGCCCTGCTCCAGCGCCGCAATCTGCCGGTCCCGCTCCGCGATAATCGCGTCCTCGACCGCCTTGATCGTGCTCAAATTCTTGATCTCTGTCCGCGTGCCCAGCGGGATACCTGCATCGCCCGTCCGCCGCACGGAAACATTCACATCCGCACGCAGCCCGCCCGCCTCCATACCGCTCACGCATGCGTCCACGGCGCCCAGCAGCGTCTGCACCTTCCTTACGAACACCGCCGCCGTGCGCGGGTGGTGCAGCTCCGGCCGCGTGATGATCTCGATCAACGGCACGCCCACGCGGTTGAAGTCAAGCCACGACACGTCGTTCGGCTGCGCGAGCGTCTTGGCCGTGTCCTGCTCCATCTGCACCTGCTGTATGCCAATCCGCACGCTCTCCCCGTCCTCGGCGGCGATGCCGTCCCGCGCGGTGAGGACGACGTGCCCGTCGCGCGCGAAGGGGTGGTAGTACTGCGTGATCTGGTACCCGGCGGGCTGGTCCCACCAAAAGTAGTGCTTGCGGTCGAAGCGGCTGACGGGCTGGACGGCGCAGTTGAGGGCGAGGGCGGCGCGGAGGGCGGGGATGAGGGTCTCCTTCTGGAAGGCGGGCTGGCTGCCGGGGATGGCGAGGTCGAAGAGGGCGGCGTGGGTGTTTGGCGCGGAGGTGTGGGGGGACGGGGTGGCGGCCGGGGAGAAGAGCTTGCGGGCGGTGTTGAGCTGGGCGTGGATCTCGATGCCGACGGTGAGCTCCCAGCCGGGGACGGTCTGGTTTGAGCCCTTGGGTTTCTTGCCCTTGGATTCCTTCTTTAGGAGCTTCTTTTCTTCTTTGAGCTTTTTTCGGAGGGGTGTCGGCGGCGGCGGCGCTTCGGGGATGGGCGTTGGTTGGGATTGGGTGGTTGTGTACGGCGCTCTTTGGGAGGACCAGGCCGGTGCGGAGCGGGCCGGGAGACGGCGGGCGGTGGACAGGCAGCCGTTGCGGGAGAGCTGGCCGTTGAAGAGGTACCGCGCCAGTTCGCGGGTTGGTATGCGCCGCATGGTGGTGGTGGTGGTCCGTTGATCGGCTGGGTGATTTGTCTTGGGGTAGTGGATGAATGATATGCGGCAGGGGGTTTCGCAGACTGTAGTGTGGCGTGGACGAATTGCGGCTGAGATGATGGTGATAAGTGTTTTAGCCGTCTGTTGTACACCCTCCTTTACATAGGATGGCTTTCGTGTTCGTCAGCGAGTGGCCGCGGGGATCTGAGGATGCGTGATTGGAGGGGTCGGCTCGTTGATAGGTGGAGGGGTCACGGTTTTTCAGCCATTGCAGGAGGGCAATTGGACCGTGATTGGAAGGCTGGCCTGTTGAGCTTGTCGTCGGTGTTCCGAGTCAATGGCACTTGTCGGTGTCGCTGAAGCTGTAGCTGGGGATAGCTTCGAAGCTCAAAAGTGGTGAAGATTAGACCGGCCGGTGACGGGACGGCAGCTTAGCTTTTCGGGCCGCTCAAGGTTCCGGGCTGCATTCCGCCCTCGTGGGCGTCGGCGGGATGCTTATGTAAGACATCAGGGGATGATCCCGTTTGCTCATGCTCAGCGAGCTGGGGTTTGCGAATAGCGCACCCATGCTGGTCACTCAGTGGAGCGCTGCGCAGTCCAGAGAGCGGGATGCCGCTAGAGGAAACTGCCGGGAACGTGGAAACGTCCCGCTAGACTGGGTTCACTTGGCTGCCATTTCGTCACTCTACATTCTCCATTTGCTCTTATCGTCTCTGATACGGGTTGGTTCTTGGTTTTAAACAAAAAGCAGCCCAACCTCAGAGGAGTCGACACACATGTTCGCAACACATCACAACTCACCTCAGCAGCAGCTCCCCGCCCACACCACCATCAGCTCCAAGGAATCATCGCACCGCACCCAACACCTCAGCTCGCCCGTCACACCTTGACAAGACAGCCCCTCCCCCCATCCCATCCGTTGGTCCAGTCTTCCTGGTCATCTGAAACAAATCCGTCGACGGCTGACACACTCCTCTCCCGATCATCTGGCGCCCTCCCTTCCGCTGCCATGTGTCTTCCTCTTTTCCTCCCTGTTTTTAGACTCAGCCATCCAGTCTCCCCTATCCCACTCTCCCTTATGTACCAGTCGGGCAATGATCGATTACATGCCCCTCGCCGTCGCTTTCTCGCCAACATACTTTGGGACGCCCTCGCCGTGAAGCTACCCGCCTGAACGCCGCCTTCCAGGACTCTGATCTCCCCGGGAAGCCCCCAGCCTGATCCCGCCCCTCCAAAGCTGTTGGGCATCGTCCGGACCATTAAAACTCCCTTGCCCTTGCCTCCTGTACACTACCTTACCTGCTCTCTTACTGTCCCGACCGTTCTCTAATGTGTATTATCGCCCGAGTACCTCGTCAGCTCTTGTGCCACCCGCAGTAGCAAGGCTCTACAGCTAATCCGAGACAACGTCGTACACCCACCCTCGTCCTTGGACACGAGGTTCACCCGACCTCAGACGGCGATCCGTCTCCCCCAGGCGCAAGCCAGCCGTCTCCCGCGGGAAGAACTAATCGCGCTCTAATAATCCCACGCCAAATCCACGACCGCCATGTCATCCGACTACCGCCCTCCCACAGTCTCCGACGACCTCCCCGGCAGCCCAGCGCCAGCTCAAGCGTGGCTGGCCCCGGACCCGAACGACGGACTCGCGCATAGCACCAGCGCCGCCCATGCGCCGTCTGCCTCGGCCGTCTTCGCGACAGATAACAGACATCACATGCCACTAGCCGACGACAACTCACCACCCGCCCGCTCGCGCCCTCGCAGCGCAACCGTCCGGCGCACTCCCTCCCTGCCCGTCTCGCCAGCGCAAACAAAACCGGACGAGGTCGCAATGAGCCCAGACGACGACCACCCCCAGCAGCAGCCCGAGTCCGAATCCGTCGCCGGCCCAGAGTCCTCGTCCGATGAGACTGTCGTCCAGGAACCGTATGACGATGAAGACGCAAACGCACCTCATTACCCGACATCGCCAACCCTGACCAACTTCACAGCTCTTACAGGACGAACACACCACTCAAGCAACTCCAGCGGCTCCGGCTCGACGATAACGCAAGCATCCTGGCCGCGGCGCAGAGGCAGCGAAAAGTCCCAGCTCAAACGCCGTCGCAGCCGCTCACCCCGCCAGCAGCAGCAGCAGCAGCAGCACGCCGCCTTCAGCTACCTCGACGCAGACTCCCCGCACGTCACCCCCGAGGCCATCCAGCGCTCTGTCGAGCAGTCGTACTGGAGGATGCCGCCGGACGGGAGCTACCAGTCTCCTTCCACCCGGAGCACCGCCTCCACGGCCTCCAGCAGCTTCCAGAGCGACGTCTTCTCCGAGCTCGACCATGAGACCGACCGCAGCAGCTCCCCGGATCACAGTGCCTACGGCGACCCCGCCTCCCCGGGCGCCATGCCGGGCAAGTTCGACGCGCACCTCGCGGCGGCCGCGCAGCAGAGGCAGCAGCGCGGGTACCGCAACTACGGCACACCGGAGATGCCGCGGGGGAACGCTAACCTGCCTCATCTCCCGCCGAACGCGCTGCAGCCGAGGCTGCCCGGGATGCATCAGGGCCACCCAAAGCACCTCCCCCGGGCGGAGAAGCTGCCGCTCTCGGGGTACGAGGTGATTGCCTCGAAGCTGTGCGCCGGGGATGCGGACAGGTCGAGCATCAAGCCCATCTACCGCCGCTTCGAGGCTCTGAATCATAGGTTGCTCCTGCATCTGCAGGATGAGCTTGCGGAGCTGGAGGAGCAGCTCCACCGGCTGGATACAGCGGACACGCAGACGCGGCGCATGCAGAACTGCATTCTCCCCGCCTCGCGCCGCCAGGAGGCTCTCACCGCGGGCGAGCTGCAATGGCATAAGACGGATGTGTTGGGCAAGATCGGGTATAAGCTCGGGCAGTACAGTATGTATCTTGTATTGTTTCCTCCTGTGATACTGCTGGACTGACACCTTGTAGACCACGTCCTCTCATCGTTCAAAGACACCCAGAACCTCCCCAGCCCAAACCCGCGAGATATAGAGTACTACCGCGCCTACCTCGCAAACCATAACCCCATCGTCGAGATCGAGACGCGCTTCCTCGACCCGGCAGACGACCTCGTCTCACTCGCGCGCCCCTCCCCCTCGACCTCGGAGTTTTCCTCCTCGTTCTCAGACGACCTGCGCACCCCGATGCCGCCGCGCAAGCCCAGCACCGCCGCCCCCGCGACGCCGGGCTTCCTCTTCTTCCAAGGCGCAAAGTCGGAGAAGCTGCGCCAGGTCGAGATCTTCCTGCGCAACAGCTACCCGCTCGCCGTGGCGGTGTCGTTCGCGGCGGCGTTCCTGCTGCCGATACTGACGTTTGCGGTGATACCCGCGTTCGCGGGCCGGATGGCCGTGGTGGCGATTGTCGCTGTCGGCGTGGGGCTGGCGGTTGTGCAGGCGGGGATATTCGGGGCGGGCAAGGAGAGGGGAGGCGCGCAGGCGGCGGCGGAGGGGGCGCTTGTGTCGGGGGTGTATGTTGGGGTTATGGCTGTCGTTGCTGGGATATTTGGGTGAAGTAGGAGGATGATGACGGTTGGAGGAAGCGTGCTTTTTGGTTTGTGAAGATACCCTTAGAGAGGATGTTTAATGAAGTGCGAGGCTGAAGTATAATGTCTATCCATGTTGTTGGGACGTAGCGATGAATTCTGTGATATGAACCTACCTGCCTGGAAGCCAATGGAAGGTGCGAGTGTCCTATATAGGGGTGAGTTGTGCGTCGAGTCGTCGGAGGGGGACGCTCCTCCGAGACCAATCGGTCTGTTTGCCACAACCGTGGCTTAGTGGTCCAATCGGACAGAAATGTAAAAACCGTCGGTTTTTCGTAGGGTTCGAGGTTCGAACCTGAGCTTTTTGGTCTTTTTCATATTCTTTTCCCTTTTCCTTTCTCTCTTCTCTATATATATTTCTCTCCTTTTCCTTTCGTTCTCACTCTCTACGCTGTTCCTCTTATGAAAGCTTGATGCTGCCTGCAGTAGTGGTGGGTGTGATCTTCCCAGCTCCAGCGTAACTGCGTAGAAGCTTTCCACTCTGATATCTATGCAAGTGGATGGGACAATCTTATTGTAAGGATGGAAGGTGAATTAAACACTGCCTCAAATACCCTCCATCTTTACAAAGGATGTACACTATTATATCTTACGCTGAGGAAGTTTCACAGCCCAGGAGGGCAGTAGATAGGGTGAGCACAATGGACGTCAAAAACCTCGCGAGGAACATGATAGCCTCATATATTGGCAGACCAAATGGCCCGCAAAACACGAGGCTCGTCGTGTGGCTTTGGAAGGGCGCGCTGTCACCGGAGGGCTATTTGGCATTAAGCGTTCCTTATCCTTTCCCCTTGGGCAGATTGCAACCCAGTGGTATTGAGTGGCCTATCGATATGATTAACCTACAGAAAGCCAAAATTGATACCAGAGAAGAGGTGAGGTTGAATTTATCGGTCGGTTCATCTGAAATCCGGTCATGGGTTCCCACTCTGGACGGAGTCGCAGATGCGGGCGGCAATTGGCTGTACCCCGCACTCGGCGCAGATGACAGTGGCGACGGAGGGGCCGCTTTGAAGTTGTCGACTCCGCCTTTGATGAAGGACTTCAAATTCACGAGGAAACAAGAACATTCGAACCGCTTCATACCAGAATAAATTAAATCACCAAATATGACCATTATTCACGTTGTGCAGTTCCAGTTTAAGGAACTTGTCCCGCAGGAGGAAGTCAAGGCGGTACATCCCCCATAAAACCCTTACCTACCTTGAAAGACACGACTGACATGGCCCAGATATGCGACTCGATGCTGGCGCTCAAGGACAACTGTATCCACCCAACGTCTAGCAAGCCGTACATCAAGTCGGCCGTCGGCGGGGTGGACAACAGTCCCGAGGGCATGTCGGACGACATCACGCACGTGTTCGTGGTGGAGTTTGAGAGCGCGGAGGACAGGGACTACTACGTCCACAAGGACCCGGCGCACCAGGCTTTCATCGCGGAGGTGGGCAAGGTGATTTTGAAGGCGCGGGTGGTGGACTTTACGCCGGGTGTGTTTGGAGGGTGAGGTGCTGGTTTGGTTGGGTGGGATTTGTGTCATGGTAATGAGATTGCTGTGCGATGAAATTTGGCTGTTTGGTTAGCCTCTTCAGCTTGATCAGTCAGATTGCTTAGTCGCCTTTGGCAATGTGCCTTGTATGTCGGACCTTGACCATGTGTCAACATGCAATTTGCATTCTGCCTTCATTCAATCAAGGCATTCAGCTGTGGGACATCGATAGCTGAAAGACAAAGTGCGTCTTCAAAATAAGCAAGGCCAAGGAAACGAGGCCTCTGAGTGAAACACTCGGTTCCCGGGGATATGGGCTAGGTAATCTCATCCCGGAAGGAATGCGCAATGGCATCATTGTGCGGCCTTGACGGGAAGAACGAATAGTCATCGGAGGGGACCGAGTGATGCGTGTCGAGATTGGCATTTGGTGACCCCTAATTGCAGGTTCCAAGCAGCGGACAGTGGCACAATGCAGGGACAGAGGGGACCGTCAAGCACCAGCATTCAGGGTCCAGGGCCCAATGGCGGACCTGAGCCTGGGGTCTGGCTCGCTGCCTGAGGGTCCAGACGCTGGAACCCAATCACGATCGATGGCTTTCGGCCAATCAGACACCGCGAAAGAAACACAGGCGGGGCGTGCAGGGTACCGGGGGGCTACGTCATAGGACCAAGCCGCGCCTTACCTGCACCGGCCGCTGCGGTTGGTTGGTGAAGCGCAGCGCAGGGGACCTCACTGTCATCATTGGGGCCAGGGCAGCCCGGCCCAGCCCATTCCCATTGCGCGGGCTGCCTGTCGGGCCAGACCACAGTGGGCAGGTCCCGTCCATAGGTCGACCACCACAGGAGACTCCAGAGTCCCGTCTGCCCGCTTCCCCTCCCCCACCAACACTACCTTACCTGCCTTTACCTTCAGTTGCACGCCCGCGTCCGTCCTTCATCAACCACGGCATCCCACCCTCGTCGACCTATCCATTGTCCTCATCGTCGTCGCCGTTGTTATACTCGTCGACATCCTCCTCTTCCTTCTCTTGCTTCCCCACGCCATTCCCTCCTACCACGCCGCATTCCCAGACCTAGCTTCTAGTTCAGTCATCTGCAAGGGGAGGTACCGCCGCCGCACGCTTCACTTTCATGGATCAGGGGACTACCGTGACATCTCGCCGAACTTGATCCTCCCGTCAACTTACCTTACTTTACCATACTTACGACCTCCACCTCTTCCCTCTCGCCGCCGCCGCAGCCCTTTCTCCATCACCTAACCGCCGTCGTCCTTCACGTGAACGAATTGCGACAACTTCCCTCCCGACTCTGCCACCGCCGCGCCCATCTCAGCAACCATGGCGGCATCGCATCCCACCCTCATCAACCTGCCTCCCCCCACCTCCAACCCAGACACCCCGTCTGAGATGCCGTGCGCCTCCCTCTCCTCCCCATCCTCTAGGCAATTGCTAATCTCTTCTCTCCAGTGGCACCCCCACGAGCACGACAACGTCCCTGTCCGCCCTCTCTACCACCGCTATTAAAGATGGTCACCGAGGTCACCTCCCCCAGGGTCCCACCGGCCGTGGCCATGCCCACCACCCCTCCACCACGAGCCTCGAAGCCGAGCGCGCCGACCGCATCTCCCGTCTCGCCGGCCTCGAGCGAGTTTCCACCCTCCGTGCACCGCCCCAGAACCAGAACAATGCCGCCTCCTCCCTCTCTCCCCAGACAACCCCCACGTCCACCACCGGCTTTCCTCCCAACTACCCGCCTGCCACACACCTCACCCCAGCGTACTTTGACGCTCACGGCCAGCCAACCGCCCACACTAAGATGAGCACCGTCGGCACCGCCAGCGCCACCGAGAGCTACGTCGGCGACGACAACGAGACCCGCACCGCCCCCGGCGAGCAGGACGAGGACATGCTCAGCATGGACACCAATTACCGCGAGGCCGACTCCGTTACCAGCATGGGCGCCGAGCCTGAGCAGATGGACGAAGACATGACCAACCGCTCCACCGGCGGATACGACGACCGCATGAGCGACGACGGCTCCGCCAGTCTCGTCGGATTCGGCGAGGGCGCCAACAGCACGGTATCCGGCCCCATCTACCAGCGCCGCCCCCTTCCCGGAGCCCAATGGGGTCTCGAGAGGAGCGCGTCTGGCCTCAGCGACGGCATCCCGACACAGCGCGCGAGAGACGTGACCATGGGCGGCGACACCCCAGTGAGCGCCGCCGCCATGCAGGAGCGACGGGAGGCGAGGATGATGGACGGCATGACCAATGACGGCGCCGGCGTTCCCGATGAAGAAATGTTTGTCGACACCACCAACAAGCCCCCCGTCTCCGTCTCACACCTCCCAGGTCAAACACCGCGCGCAAATCCTAGCACGACACCGACGGCCCGAGATACCGCAGAGCGCGTCATTCGAGAACGGCTTGACGGGGGCGAGGGCAGGGTTGGCAACGTCGCGATGGGCAGCCCGCAAGGCGGAGAGAAGCTAGGCAAGTTTTACTTTGAGGAGCGGAAATGAGGGAATGGATGAATGGGTATAACTGGGCTGTGATGAAAGGAAAACCACGGACGAGAGAGCGTGTGCTTTGTATGAATTGGACGGTTCAATTGCTTGGGATGGGAATACGGGTTGGCTGGATTATCCGTAACAACATGGACCCCTTAGGTATGGCTACTGGAATGCGAGTTATTGATTATTTCTGCCACGTTGTCTTTGAAGGATACGCGTCAGATGAGAAGGATAACATCCTGCCTAATTTTTTACAAGACCCATGAGGGTGTTCTATACCGGCCAGGATGATGAATTGACTGACAATCTTCAGATTACAACCTTCGTACGACCAGTCACGGCCGCCTTAGACTTGTGTCTAACATACTGACGAAAGTATGTAAAGTTGATACTTCACGGTGGATGAGAATACAAGAGGGGATCCGCGGTGACTTGCTAAGCCACAGTGACGCCGGTACTGCGACGGCACAAGCTGATGACCAAAGGAGAGTACGCCCCAAGCTCCCCAAACAGATCTGAATGAACGTGTGGTGGGTCAGAATCCACCCGTCGCCTTCGCAGGTTCCAACTGCTTCAAGAGCCCTCAAAGCTCTGAGGATGTGACAACGTCCATATATTTTAAGTCCTGTTGCTGCAAAGGCCCTGCGGGTTCTTACAGTCACAGGAAAACGCGCCGAAGCCATCTAGATCACCTGGGGTAAGAAACCTGTTCGTGCGAGTAGCCAAGTAGGGGATGGGTGTGGCGCACTGCAGCTGTGGTATTTCATTAGCCAAATAATTCAGTAACAAGAGGAGAGCGGGACTTCTGCTTGAGCCTACTTGGAGAGAAGACAGACAGCGTGCTCGAGTCCGGCCGAGCAAGACATCTGGCAGATCGATGTCCACTTGTGGCAGCATTGCGTGCTGCACTTCTCTTCCCGGGGAGACAGATTCCGCGGGCTCGGCAAGGCGGAGAGGGCGGCTCTGAAGAGCACGATGGTGGTCAACAGCGAGGTCTCCATAATTGCTATACGTCGAATTGAAGCAATCGAGAAGTGTTTGGGTTGGGACGGGGTTATCAGCGTGAAGGAATATAAAGTTGGGTTAGAAAATTTCAAGATGAGTAGAGGTTACTGCCTGTTGAAACCCCATCATAGGCACAGATTGAGGAAGAGCCCGCTATTTTTGCCGCGACCGCCTATTTGTCTTGTGCTAGAGCGGCTACTTTTCCTATGACTGTACTCTAATTACTTTACTATCGTCATCGTCGTCGTCGTTACTTCTACTATTATTGTCGCTATCGTTTTAGTCGTCCTCGTCCTCGTCCCCGTCCTCATCATCGATATCGCTGCTATCGCCTTTAATAGAAGTAACCAAGTGCACAGGAAATATAGCCGCGCAGACACAGGAAAATTAGGCGGTCTCTTTTTGCCAGTGAATGACATGAGAATATAGGGCATAGCAAAGCGTTGTCGGCAATTGTGAATTGTGGCACAGAGAACCCCATCCATTATTCTTCGATCTTTGTATACACCTCTCCTTATAGAATAGGCACAACCTGCCCCCACAGGCTTGACTTGAGTATCTCGGTACTATCTACCGCTGTTCGAAAAAGAAGAGCAACAAGGAGATAACGATAATTAATCATATCGTCGAGTTCTCTTCCTTCGTGGTCCAGCTTGTGTATACTGTGACGATTCCACAATGGCCAGTTGTCTTCTTTTTCTGAGTGATATATCACAATTTCACCAAGCCTATCTAAAGCCTGATGAGTGTTGGAATACTTTTCTGGCTTGTTGTATCCTGAACCTAACAGGGCTTCATACTGACCGTGAAGGCCCACAAGATAGTCGTCGAATTCCTGTCTTGTCATGTTGTCTGCTGGGTCTTTCATTAAGGCAGGATAGTGATCCGCCTCTTGTCGAAACCACCGGAGCAAGTCCTCATGTTCCACGGACTGTCGTAGGCTAGAATGTGACCCCTCCAAGTCGAAATGTGCCTTGATGTAGCTGAATTGGTCTAGAAGTTGGCGAATGGACAACAGAGTATCGCCGTAAGATTCCAGAGTGGTGATTGTTGATTTTTTCTTCGATCCAGTTTCCGCGGCATTCCCAAAAGTTGTTTGGTTGGGGAGTAACGATAGGACGGGGTCTCTCGCTTTCGCTGGGTTCTGAAAGATCCCATTGCGTGTAGCTTCCGCAGCTTCCAAGAGCAACATTGTTGTCGTGCAAATACGACTGGCGTGGGCATTGACGATCTCATAGCCCTGGCGGTTCTTGTAACTGGTGTCAAGCCACTCGTCCACCTCCTTGAGCTGAGCTAGAGCAAGCTCCCGGAGTTGCACAGTAAAATAAGGGATCCTCGCAAACTCAAGCTTCGTGTTGAACGGTGACCGGAGTAAGTTAAGGCAAGTGTAAAGTGCAGTTCTGCAGCCTTCGATCGGAAGTTCCTCTGTTGACTGAGATCCGTTGGGCGGTTCACCGAATCCTTCGTGTCCGTGCTTTTTCACGAGGTCTTTATTCTGGTCGCACCATCTGAATCGTTTCCACCCTGGCCTTAGAGGCTTCGCAGCTACGTCCCAAAAGTAAAACCTTTCAAGCATTCCTGTGACGTCGGCGAGATCTACCTCTGTCCAATATTTCCCGTTGAGTGCGAGAGGAACCAGCGGCAAGTCGACGCCCAACCTCGAGGTTGGAAATATTGCGGGTACATGTTCTGGCGCTCTTAACAAGAAGTTGCTAGCAAGTGATACTTGGTACTTCTCCAACATCCAATTCTCTGGAAGGAAGAATCTCGGGGTGCCGGAAGCGCGACGGAAAGCCTGATCCACGGAGTTTTTCAAAGTGGAAAGGCTCTCTTCAGAGAAGTCTACCATCTTTATGTTTGGGGGGCCCGAAAACACGATGGGCTCGGCCGGGTCGAAGTCGCAGATAAATCCATTGGAATGTATTTGAATCTGTCCATGGGCATGCTTCATTGCCTGGCCCAACTCTGAAAGCTTAAGAGGGGCGGTCCAAATGTGGTTGCTGTCGAACTCGAAACTCAAACATGCGCCAACAAGCCCTAGTAAGGGGTGTTGGCGAAATTCAAACTGAAAGCTGTGTCCGAGTATGATAGGGCCAGTGGTTCCTTCTAGCAACAGAGTGTGTGTGTCCGGATTCAAGGCAGCGGTGGAAATGATCACCCCGATCTCCGCGTATGCAGGTGCGGCAACGAGATCATCGGGCAAAAAGCCGACGTCCATAGACCGGGAGAATCCGTACTCGCCCTGCATCACAACTCCATCTAGACCTACCATTCTGAAAAAGTTCGGCCATGTTGCCGCCGTCTGCTGGAAGTCGTACTTCCGTCCAACCTTTTTCTCATTGCGCGGTCCGGGGCCGCGTATTTCTCCACTCGTATCACTTTCTTCCCGCTCCATTTCCCACTTCTTTATCTGCAGGCTTAGGCTGCGAAAGATGGGGACCTGAACCACGAAATCGAAAGTCCACTCGGATTTGTTCCATCGTCGCTTTCTGTTCTCTGACAAGGGACCAATTGCGCGCCTGCTGCTCCTTCGATTCGCTCGTCCAGCAGTAAGGAAAGCCTGGACAACGGGAATGAGGGCGAAAACAATGGCTATGACGCCAATGATGGCGGTGAAGACGAATGTAACTGGGTCCCAATCGATTTTCGCATCGTCCGCTCTGTTTTGATCGCCAACAAGCTGAATGAGAGTCCGAAGGAGGCAATCTGTTGAGTTGCTATCCTCGGGACACTTCGAACTGTCATTGTTCATGATGAACCCGTGGCTGTGAGAACGTTATGCATTGATTGGAAGGAAATGGTTCATGAGTTGGACGGAACTTGGCTGGGCACAATCTTGGTATGATAGAAAGGGGTGGAGGGACTTCACACATTATAATATTTTCTGCGGTTCTCCCTGATATGCCGTGACGAGGCAGGCTACGTGATTCGGAATATGTTGCTTATGTTCTTGGCACACCCATCGGTCCTTCTGCATCACACCTTTTCGTGCATTTGTGTAACATTTAATACGTGCTGATTGGTTGACTGCTTGCCTCCACCTCTGACTCTGCCAAATTGCTTCTCTTACTATGAGAAACGAAGAAACTTAAATGACGGCCCCTTCAGTGGCTGGAAACTCACGAAACATGGCAGTCTTCTTCGGAAGGCCCCGTCAAAATGTGCATGGATAAATTGCCAGTTTTATTCAGATATTGTTACACTAATTTGGAAGTCCTTGCATACCCTAGCATAAAAGTTGTGACTCTTTCCCGAGCTCGGGATTTCTCGCGTGGAAGAAACTCTCACCAACCCTTACCCTGGGTGTGGCATAACGTATTGTTTTCTTCCGATTGCAGTCCAATAACCCAGAGCATAGAGTACGACTCCTACCAACACGCACGACACATAGTTCATTTCAAGGATCGCCACTGGTTGGTAGTAGGGAAAGGAGTAAGACACGACACTAATAGCGGTCCACGCCAACGTGACTATATTCGCAATGAAGCCCAGCTTAGGAAACCAAAAAGGTCCATGTACCAGCTCAGAACGGCCCGTCCACAAGAGGCAAAGGATTCCTATCGAATATGTGATATACTGCAGCAAGATGCCCGCGGAGATAAAGGAGTTGAAGGCAAGGCTCGACGCTAGGTAGAGACATCCGAGAAGAGCGACCCAGAAGCATGACCAGAGGTGTGCCCAGACAGGGACATCGAATGGCTTGGGTGCTATCTTCGACATGTGTCTGTGAAATGGAAACGCTCTGTATTTGCTGAATGCCCACGCCATGCGAGACTGCCATGTATGACAGCCGATCATGGCACCCGCTGCCGAAAGCATGACGAGGCTCTGAAGCACGATGCCTACTGTCTTATTTTCGTAAACCTGGTAAAACAGTTCGAGAGAGGGCGTGCCAGATGCGGCGATGGCCGGCAAATCCGTAGCCGCGAAGAATAGCGCAAAGACTATCGGTAACCCAGTAAATGTTCCTAGTGCGACAGTGCACAGGAGAGCCATTGGGATGTTTTTGCGTGGTTGAGGGATCTCGTCCGCGAGATGGACCACGGCGTCGAGGCATGAAAACGCCCAATTCGTAGGGCTGAGGCCTATCAGGAAAGCGACCCCGTTGGGCCACCCAGAAACGTTGTAGACCTCGGCAAAGAAGTTGTGAGCTGTCTGCTTCTCGGATCTCCCAGCTAGAAGGGCTACGAAGGCGGCGAAGACCATCGAGCATGTGTAAAGCAGGAGCGTCTTGCTAACCCAAGGTAACAAGCGTTCGAAAAAGTTGAACCCGGACGCGAGGATGTTTATGGACTGAAAGCCAATGAAGCCCATCCATGGTTGATACACAAATCCTGGGTTTGCTATTGCGACCATGCTGAAGATGCTGAGAGTGACAACCAGGCAGACGGAAGCTGAGACGCAGACTGCGCTGGCCCAAGTGATGACTCCAGTCAGGTATGACAGCGGACGTCGTATTGAGGGAGGGCCAAGCACGGCAACCCAGTAATATTGGCCTCCGGAGTGCGGCAAGGCGGAAGCGAGTTCGCCGAGGCTGATGGCCACGGCAAAGCCAACAATCGCCATGAGAATGAAACCGTAGAAGAAGACGGGCGCTCCGCCAAAGTTGATCCCTGTCGATAGCCCGACGATGATGCCTACCGCCGTGTTGGTGATGGAATGGCCAATACCCATGGCGGTCCAGACGGTACACGGCTTTTCGTCGACTTGTTGACCGTCAGAAATGGACGGGACTTGCGCGAGGGCTTTGTCATTGGGTTTTGCTTCAACGTCGGACATGGTCAGGTTGCTCTGGTTATGTTGGAGGCGAGGGGGACAAGCAGCGATGATCAGGAGTAGGACTTGATGAATAGTCCTTTGCTACATCCATCATCTAGTAAACCATGGAGAAATCATAAGGGGCTCATGGTTATTTCTAAGTCAAAGCTTGCGTTCAACAAGACCTGAGCTACTGATAAGCCTGGAGGATTGGCAATAAGCGTGCTATTCGCAAGGTGACAAGTACGTGCCCGGTTCATCGGGGATAGACACCATTCTCAACGTCTATCTTCGGCGCTGCGATATGTGTGGTAAGCTACTCGGAGATGGCATGGTGCGAACTGCTAAACGACTCCGCGATTCAATGGCCTGTCATCGTCAATATCACGGATGCTTTCATTGGCACCTCTCCGAGATACGGAGATATACGAATCATGGGGCATCCAGGATTCTACAGCTCCTCGCACATATTCCAAGATTGGTAAAGAGCGACAGATCCGTCTATCTTATCATGCAGGACGCCAGCGTCATACCTGGGGAGTGCCTGTTTACTGTGGAGAACCTCGCACATTGTCTACATTGGGCAAAGTGCGGGTTGCATGCACTGTAACTCGGGGATTCGATCCTTGAAGAATCCTTCAACTACAGATCCGCCTTGCATGTTCATACATTCTCTGCGGACGTTCAAACCCAATACCGAAGGTGTTTTGTCCGATCTGACGAGCGTTATGGTGAGCATAATGACTTGACTCCAGGCATACTGACGCACCCTTGGCAATCAGACACAACAACCAGGCCTTCACTGTAACCTCGAATTTGATTTCATCATCTTCAAATTGTCTTTGGAAGATCACAGGGATCACGGCCAGCTGGAAACTATTGCAAAGATACGTGTCAAACGCCAATCCTACCGCACCATGTACCCGCCATCAACGGGCAAGGAAACTCCCGTGATCCATCCTGCATTCTCACTAGCAAGGAACACCGCCGCTTTAGCAACGTCGACTGGTTGTCCAAGACTTCGCCAGGGATGCAATGCAACAGTCGCATCCAACGCGGCTGCATTGGAATGAAGATTGCTATCCATGCCTGTTCGAATGACTATCACGAAATTAATACTGTTATCAATGCTCAACACACCGCTAAGTGACTTACATCCAGGACAGATGACATTGCAGTGAATCTTTGCGGGGGCGCTCTCGCGCGCGACACATTTGGTCATATGTATGACCGCTGCTTTGCTTGTGCAATAAGACACTGTCCTCAATACGTGAGCCATACCGCACTCAGTATTTATTCGCCAGCATGAAATATCCTTACCGTGGTCAGTCTCCGCCTTCAAACCGTAAACAGAGGAGGTGTTGATGATCCAGCCTCTGCTCCCCGATGCCAACAGCGGCTGGGTCATGAATTGGCGGATGGCATATTTGCAACCCAGGAAAACGGATCTCGTGTTAACTGCCATTGTCTGGTCAAACGTAGCGTCGGCAGTCTCTGTAATTGGCTTGGGACCGAGCTTGTTGTATGACTCTAGAGATATCCCCGCGTTATTGACCATCACATCCAGTCGGCCATATTGAGAGACTGCTGTGGAAATGAGGTTCTGAACGCTATTGGAGTCGCTAACATCGACTGAGACAAATATCGCTCGTCCGAGCTGCGCTTCGTTGATTAGGTCGACAGTTGTTTGCGACTCGCCGACTGGAATCTGGCCACTCAGATCTCCGCAAACGACGCTCCAGCCCTGCTTTGAGTATGCGATGGAGATAGCGCGGCCGAGGCCGGATGATGCGCCGGTGACGATTGCGACCTTGATCATTGTATGGATCATAAGTCGTGGTTTGAGAGGTACGCCTAGAAATCCAGCTGAGGAATAGAGAAGGGCGGTGGAAGCATTTCTATATGTTGAGAACTTAACGTTTTGTTGCAGCCTACATGAAAGTGTTATCTTGGTGGTTTCTGCGGGAACTCACCAGGTTGCCCCGGTTGAGCGGGGCCTCGCACTTGTAACCAAAATGGCGATAGATGCCAAAGCGATTTGCGACCCACGAGCCGGATATACGGTCGAGACTGACATCGGTTCTTGAACTGGATAGAGTGCGAGCTGTGGACTCGTCATTCAGCGTTCTCTATCCAACTCGGTCTTATCATGGATGTAGCTGCGAAAACGGTAACAACGTCCAGGCCAAAACACTAAGTGTGACTTGAAAAGTTGAGCGGACCTGAATCATCCGAGGTATGAAAGACCTCTTCGGGGCTGTTGGGCACTCATAAGGAGGTTTCACTTATAAATATCACGGCGTGCTGCACTGTCCCCAACCTACCTAGAAATTGTCTACACAAAAACAAGGTCTACTGACTCATTCTTCAAGTTCTATTCTGTCTGTTGACGCTTCAAAATGTCCTATGTTGCCACCCCTGAAGAGGTTCGCGCCTGGGAGGAACTCTCCTCCAAACCTTCCTTTTCCCAGGAGCTCATCACCGTCGACTTTACTACAACACCTGAATTCATCAAGTCTGTCATTTCCCCTGGTTTCGAACCTGGAGACGAACCCAGGGGCCATATTAGCCTCGGCACGATGGAGAGCAGACTCTGTGGCGAGTTTGACTGCGTCATGGTCTCCATTGACGTCAAATTCCGAGGCCGCCATGGGACTCACATGTTGGAGCTCATCATCAGTGGCGACACCCCAGTGACCTGGGGCCGAGAGGTTTGGGGCGAGGTCAAAAAGACAGGAATATGCCGGATGTGGAGATCGGGGAGCTATCGATATGCCTACGCTGAACGGAACGGCGTAAGGCTTATCGAGCTAGTGGGAGAGTTTGGCGATGACCTCCCCGCCCGCAAACGAGAGGCGACTGCCTTTGAAATCAAGGCTTATCCTCACTCTATGGGCAAGGGACTTCAGTGGGAGCCTAGAGTGAACATCCTGACCGTCGTCGAGGAAGACACCCGGCGATCTGTTGGAAAAGGCCGATTGGCAGTTCGAGGCACGTCTTCGGACCCTCTCCACAGCATTCCGATCTTGTCGATCGGCGATATGGAATATGTCTCCGGAAAGGCTGACTACACCGTTGTGGAGGAGCATGAACTGGGTTGTGGTCAAGCCTACCTTCCATATTTGGTGGGCCGACACTACGACGACCTCCGTGACTTCAGGGTGGGTGCGGAATGGAACAAGTTGGAGTTCGAGAAGAGGGAGGTACAGGAGGGCAGCGTCCGGGAATTTACCACCCCTTCCATGTAAACGTCGGCTTCGGGTCATGCGATTCAATGCAATTGGTCTCCTTCAACCTGCCTGTTTAAGTTGAGGAATTCTATGTCAGTCATCCTAGTCAGGCAAAAAGCCCGCATAATCTTGCATACGTAGCGTTGGTAAGATAGTCCCGATATCGGTGTTGTTAACACCTTCAAACCGACACTCTCTACAGAGCCCGGAGTATTTGGAGGCGAAAGTCTCCGACCTACATGAGGGGTAATCTGATGGAAGAATGCATTCCCAGACATGTCAATTGATACTTATTTGTCACTACTCTTGTACAACTGTGTTGTGCTCTATGACCTGACACCCAAGATGGAGAACCGTGATGCCAACTTGGCTGATTCTTTGTCAGTAACAACAAGCGGAACAACAAGATCGATCAAGAAACGCACTGGCTGCGAGCAATGTAAAAGAAGAAAGGTCAAACGCGATGAAAAGAAGCCAATATGCTCCCGCTGCGAAAAGCGTCGAGAAACTTGCACCGGAAATTTCGAGATCGACAAGACATGGAGGATCGAACGGCCGTGGTTCGCCGCCAGTCAAGGCTCTGTGCCAGGTCCAGCTTCGGAGAACGAGACGCTGCGGTACTGGTATGAGGAAGCCTGTCTCATCATGGCCATGTTCCCGCCGCCTACAAATCCATTATCATTCCCCATAGCAAAACTACTTCAACGATCTAAGGCACTACGCCACACCATCCAATGTGTGTCGGACGGCCATCGGAGAGGATTCAGTTCAGGTGGTCTCGCAGACGCACTGCTAGAGAGAAACTTGGCGATCGTCTCTTTACAGGGTGAGATTAGCCGGATACAATCAACGACATGCCCTCCCGTCCTGATTCGCGTCATGATTCTCTCCTCGCTCATCCTCTGCCTCTCAGCAAGCTGGCTGGATTCCTCACGATAAGACTTTGGGATGGAGTTCCTTCTTGGCTGTACGGTGTTAATGCGTATGCTGGCTGATTGCAACCCAACCGACGAGTTCGCTTTTTATGTGCTGGGTCTGTACACATGAAGCGAGTGTTTCTCATCTTATTTGGTCCCTGTATCGATGCAGAGGAAGCCAGATCAGCGGATCATTTCCCTTGCCCAAAGGCCGCCCTTCACCACATTGATCCACCCTGTCACAGGAATCGCGACCACGCTGTGTCCCATCATCACGGAAATAGGGCAGTATTACCGCGCCGTTGTGGAGTGCAAGGAATGGTCTATGGGGCGAGACCAAGATCTGAGAAAACGACTCCTGGAATGGAAGTCCCCGGAAGGGTGCCCTGTTGTTTCTCAACTACAACAACTGAGTGAAGGGTACAGAAGCATGGGAGATATAATGCTCTACCAAGCGCGAAGCGTGTGTGAGCCCTTGGATTCCATCGATTCATGGATGCTCAGCGAGAAGGTCCACAACGTTATTGAAACCATTACAAATATCCCACAGAAAGACACTTTGCTTAACTGGGTGGGACCGTTGTTAGTTATTGCTGGATCGGAGCTCTAATCAAGCTGCCAAGACCAAAGACTGGTGGTTGAACAGACACACAAACATCTGTTATCGTTCACAAGAATCCCAACCTATAAGAATGCGATGGAACTTACTCGGCATGTGTGGCATGTTCGAGATGGTGGAGGGAGAGTGACCTGGCTCGAATGCATGGTTCAGCAGGGAATTGTATTAGCCTTAGGCTAGATGAATGCGACTCCGCGACAAGTCTACTTCGAGGAAGGATTTCTCAACATAGGTAGCGAAACGAAGTCCTTTCCCCCCGATCTAAGATCAATGCTCTTCGTTCTAAGCATCATATAAGTTTGAATATGTGACGTCCTGATCCCTGAAAAAGGTTCGTGAGCCGTTCCAAGGCAGTGCTTTCCCCGTCGCCTGCTCCAGCACGAATTTCACGAACATCACGCTGGTGTCTGGTAGCCCAGCTCCTCATGCTAGGCTCTGAGTTTGTATGCTCTGCCGAGATTGTAAAGCCCTGAGAGAACCCACGCTCAACGAAACGCACGTACCCAATTCGCTCATACTCAGCCTCGCCAGTCATCGCTGAACCTTTCTCCCGAATGACGAGACAGGCCATCTCAGGACAATTACCGGTCTTCAAGCCGAAGTCCGTGATACGGATGATCTGAACAGGCATCGACCATGGTCCTGATGTGTTGGTAATCGGTGTATCCAACTGAAATCCCCGAGTATGTGTGTCACCTTGAGCAACCCACATGTCTCCAATTACAAGCCAAATTGGACTGCATCCGTATTCAACGAAGACTCCAGGCCATTTAACCAGAGTTCCATGGAGAGCGTAGGTTGAAAGCAAGAGATGCGCGGAGCTAAGCTCTCCAGTGGGATCAATACCAGCAGGAACACACACCGCTTCCAGGACCTCAGCAACAGGGGCATAATCTTCAGTCCCCGTCTTGCCCAGAGAGAACCAACTTCCTTTCCCTGAGTTTAGACAATCGGCATCCGAGTCAAAACGGAGAAATTCTTGGTGCTCGTGCTCGAGAGAAGCCCATGACCAGGTGGGAGCCCTCCAATCATCAGGCCGCCTTCCGGGCTTGTACACGAGCCAAAGCAGATCCAGATGAAGAGAGTCTCTCCAAAGTCCAGCGAAGTATTGGTCTTGATATTGTGGATTCCACATTTTGGCAATACCAGCGAGAGCAGGGAACCTGTCCTTTGAAAATGTCAAGTTAAGTTGTGCGTATTGTTTCACCGCCTGTCTCCAAGCCTTCACACTTTGACCCCATTGAGGCGATTGAAGGAGACAGCTCGAAAACTTGCTGTAATCGGTTTTTATGTCGGTGGTGTCGCTGGTCGCTTCTGCAAGCTCTCGACGTTTCCCTTTGAACTTCCCGTTCAACTCTGCTAAGCTGCCGGCAAAATGAATCTTGTCGGGCAAGACGCTCGCCCCAGACGAAATTTGGCCACACTCGCAGTTTCTCGCTGAATTGCACTCCCAATTGACCTCCGCGCCGGCAAAGTGCACGACTCTCGCGGAAAGTAGCCGTTCTTGATACACCCAAGCCCGTCGAGAAATGGGAAAGAAGTCGAAGAAGCCATCTATGTGAAGGAGATCAGAACAGACTTGTAGCGGGAAATGCGTGTCATCAACATCATTGACAAGCGAAAGCTGTTGGGCCTGGTACTTTGGGTCTGGGGACGAGGTGTAGAGCCCCCGACTAGAGTCGGTCGCCTTAGAAGCTGCCAATGTGACGTAGGCATGCTGGTAGATATTTGCCATCTGAGCTGCTTCTTTTTGCCAGTCCAGGGAGTCATCTTGAATGATGCAGAGGGAGTCGATCCATATGTATTGCAGACCGAGCCTGCGGGTGAAGTCGATGGCGTCTTGGAACGTCCGCGGGAGTGTTGACCAGGGAATTCCATTCTTGAACTGGGAGAAGTTGTCTTTGAGCGTGCGCACCAGGGGTCTTTCGCCCCATGGGTGACTTAAGCATGCATACACCCCCATGGACTGTCCTGTCTCGTGCAGATGTATGTCGTCTTCTCCCGATCCAACATCAATGACCCGTGTCGGCAACCTGGCGATGTCGGCATTGCTGCAAAGAGGATGGGTAGAAGTGCACTCATTGATCCAGCCCGTGATCGTCTGTAGTGTCTCTTCCGAGGCTGTATTGCGAAGGATGGGCTTCACATCGCCCGAGGGCCCTTTGCCACGCCACAAGTTGGGGAACCTTCGCAAACGAAGAGCCAGATCGGCGTCTGCCAGAAGTATTAGCAAGTAGTCGCCAGTGATGCAACAGGTCTTATGCGCCGCGAATGATGCACCTACCATCAGGGACACAAAAGTAAATCGAGTTTCCCCCATCATCGCGGATGGCCTCCGGCGTACGTGGATAGGGAACCGTCCATTTCAGGGACCGGCCCTCAGTCAAATAGTCACCGTAGAGCTTCCTAACAGCTTCGTAAAGGAGAATGCAGAATGGGCAGTCATTTTCCATCTCTTGTCTCCATAGGTCTTCATTCTCCAGGCTCATTTTGCAGCCACGATGCCAGACCTGGCCAGCGTCATTTTGGACCCGCTCACACCATTTCAACAGCGCACTGAGCAGAACCGGCTTGAACGCGAGGGGACTAGCTTCTAGAAGGTGTTGAGATGGAGCTTGTTGATTCTCGACAGATGATACGATTGAGCCCATGATGGCAACTAAGAACTCGCAGGGATTTTGGCTCAAGTTTACAGGCTGTGATGTTGATTGCGATGTCAGGTGTTGCTCCCCTCCCCTTTCACCTAGTGCGGCTGAAAGCCCGAGTCTCGCCTGACCAATCGGTTATCGGAACCATTTTCGTACTCCAGCAAATCAGCCGCTTCTTTTGCTCGGCTGGGTCTTGGCTCTTATGACTTGCAGATGACATTTGTCCAATGAACAAAAGTCAATTTTATCGGAATGGGGTGGACCATCAGCACAATAGAGAATGTGTAGCTGGGATGCCAGCTAGGCTCCTCTTTCAATGCTGACCTTGAATATGATGCAAATCCAACCGTCCGTCCGTCGAAGCTGGTTTACCGTGGGTGACAGGTAGTCTAATCTGAACAGCGAAAATGTCAAGGGAATCATCAATAATCAAGGCGATAACAAATATCAGTGCCGGGTGCCAATATTCATATGCAGCTACTCGTATAGCCAAGAATACAAGACTAGGAGGTGCGCGACTTCAGACGAACAACATGACTTCTTTGGCTGAAAAGCCGGCCGAAAGTATGTTGAATAAGGCTATCACATGACAACATGCAAGTCGCATCTGAATAGTCGCCGGAAGCAATTTGAGTCTTATTTGTAAAGAAGAAAGGTTAGCGGGCTATAAGCACCAATATACTCCGTGCCAATTGCCCCTTAAGATCAATAATCAACTTGATGTTAAAACAGGGAACTCATGAATCGTGTAGTTGTTCAACCCTGTAAACCCCATATGCCGTCCCAACTTATTCAACCATCCAGCAACACCCCTCCACAATGCCCACTCACCAAGGAACCCGGCTTCAGCAGCGATGTAACGCTGACATGACATCCCCTCTCCCCGCGGGTATCTTACTGCATCTCTCCGTCTTTAAACGGCAAGAACACCACTCTCAGGCCGCCGGAAAGCCTGGATTACTCCAACCGATTGGGCCCGTGCCTTGCTCCCGCATGCAAGGAACACGAGGATCTCGCCCCGGAGGCCAGACACGCGGAGAACCTGCAAATTAAACTAAATGACAAAAGCCACGCTCAAGGCCCATTAGGCTTAACGTCGTATCCAGGTGCTGTCCGGCACGTTGCCGCTTTGTTAAAAATGCGGGACTCTGGATTTGCTTTAAGGCTGCTTCCCGCGCTGCTTCTTTTGCTCTTGGCTGTTTATTTGCTTCTCGATACTGACAGGGTTGAAGTTACGATGAAGTCTTTCGGGTTCTTTGCGCTGTCGCTGGCGTCGCTGCCTTTGTGCTTTGGCGCGCCGTCGTTTGAGAGGGTTGAAGATGCTGCTTCGACGTTCCTTTCTGGGTTGATTGCGTCGACACAAGCCATCGAGAAACGGTCCCCGAATGCCTCATGCCAGCAAAGCGACCTTGCGGTTGACCTTGGGTATGCCAAGTATGAAGGCTACAGCAACGCGACGAGTGGGTTGAACATCTGGAAGGGGCAAGTTCACTGTATGCAAGGTTAGGCTCCAGCTGACCATTTTCAGCATCCGATACGCAGCGCCGCCGACGGGCCCCCTTCGCTGGCAACCTCCCCAATCACCGTCTCCCGAAATTTCGAATGGGACGACACCGGCGACTGAATTCGGTCCCTTCTGCCCGCAAAACTACCCTGCCGTGCCGGGAGCACCGTTCATCCCCGGCTCCGAAGACTGTCTTTTCCTAAATGTATATGCTCCGGCTGGTGCCAAAGACCTGCCGGTGATGGTTTGGATTCATGGCGGTGGATACGGCTTTGGTGATGGGCGGCAGGATATGTCGGAAATTCTCAACGCGAACGACAATGGGTTCGTGGTGGTGTCTATCCAATATCGGGTGAGCTTTCCAGTCAATGATTGTTGAGGTTATTGTGCAAGACTAACCGCCAACAGCTCGGTGCTTTCGGCTTCCTGTCTTCTGCTGATGTTAAATCCCGAGGCGCGGTAAATGCAGGATTGCTGGACCAGGCGCTCGCTCTTGCTTGGGTCCAAAAGCATGCCTGCAAATTCGGCGGAGATCGCAAAAGGGTCACGATCACCGGCGAGTCGGCTGGAGCAGGCTCGGTGATGTATCATGCGCTAGCAGCGGACGGCAGTCTTGGTTCGCTGTTTTTCACAAACGTGAGTGATCAATCCCGTGTTGTCATAAGTTCGACTGCTGACTTACGGATCAGGGCATTGCGGCTTCACCGTATCTCCCGTTTCAGTATGGGTTCGACGCCGACTTTCCGACTCAGAGGTACCAATCTTTCGCCGAGAAGGCGGGTTGTTCCTCGGAAGCGGACGTTCTCGAATGCCTCCGAGGAAAGGATAGCATGGTTCTTCAAGAAGCTAGTGCAAACACCACTGCCAAGCAGACTTATGGCCGATGGTATGCCTCTTGAATCTGGCTTAAATGATTTCATTTGCTAACAGATATATCTAGGGCTTTCTCCCCGGTCACTGATGGAGTATACATCAAGAGCCTGGCCAGCGAGCAGTTGACACAAAAGAAAGTTAACGGCGAACGCCTTCTTGTCGGGGTAAGTTGATCCGCGGTTGATGTGATATCATGACTGACTTTAGAGCGAAAGAACAACGCCAATGAAGGCCCTCTATTCGTACCTCCCAACATCTCCAGCAACTCCGATCTCACAGCTTGGCTCAAACTATCGTTTCCCAACCTCTCAGAGGCACAGATCGACGACATCGTAGCAAAGAACCCGACCAAGACCGGAGCAAACGACACCCGCTTCGAAACAAACGGGCTGACGGGTCTCACGGCCCTTGACGTTAGCCAAGCCGGGGCGGGACCACTGCAGCAAGCTATCGTAAGCTATACATCCTCGTATCCCATCAGAAGCGGTGCGCTGACGTGAGCCTCAGAACATATACGCTGAGCAAACATTCGTCTGCCCGAGCTACTGGCTCTCCTCCGCCTTCACAGGTCCCAAGGCTGCCTGGCATTACCAATACTCCGTCCCCTTTGCCTGGCACACCTCTGACGTCCCCGCATACTTTGGGCCGGCGACCCCGAACCAAGGCTCGGAGTTCGTTCTTGCATTCCGAAAGATATGGGGAAACTTCATTACGAAGAATGATCCATCCATCAGCAATGAAGAGGCGAACGGCGCATCGAGCGCTGATTCGGCTGCGAAGAATGGCGCCAGCGAATGGCCAGCTTGGATCGAGACGGAGCCCAAGCAGTTGAATCTCAACCAGACGGGTGGCGTCCCGTATCAATTCACTACGCAGTGGGGTGTGACCGTGACGCAGTTCCAGGCATCTGGACAGGTGAATGCGATTGCTGTCGTGCCCGCGGATTCGTGGGAGGGCGGACGCGGGTCTAGATGCGACTTCTGGAAGACGTTGGCACCAAGCATCCCGGCGTAGTGGGTATGAGGTTCTCCAATGGCTTTGCCGGCTCGGCGAAGGCTCTTTCGCTTCACTATTTGTACAAATTTTACTAAAGATTAAGTGACCAGAGACTTGATGACGCTCGCAATTGGCGGTATGGACGTGAACAAAACGGTGATGGTGCCGAACAAGCTCATAGACAAACTCGACAACGCAGCCGCACGAGGGTCAGTCCGGAGAAGCAGGGCCGTTGCGATCGCCGATGAGTTGGCGCCGAGCGTGACTCCGCGCGTAATATAGTCATCTGTTTGAACGTCAGTCCTTTCATCCACCCACGGAAACCGGACTTCTGACCTTCGGGAATCTTGAACCATCCCAGCATCTGCTGTCCAACAAGCACGCCGACAATGCCGCTCATAATGGCAATCGCAGCTACCGTGTTCGAGTCACCTCCCAGATTCTCCGTCGCAGGAAGGGCGAGGGCGAGCGTCAAGCTGCGAGATGCAAACGCTAGGGATCTCTCTGCGCTGATCCCGATGGCGTAGCAGATCTTAGGGTACGAGAAGAGACAGCCGATGGACATGACAATGTTAGGGAGCACAATCGCGACGAAGTGCTGTTTCAGCTCGCGGCGGTACTGGTACATTGGCAACGCGAGCGACACGATGCTCGCGTCGAGGACGGTGCTGAACATATCTCCAGCGCCTGGGAGGCGGCCAGAGTGAGTGTGGAGCCATAGGTACGTGTAATTCGCGCCTGTTCGGAAAGATTGTAGGGTTGTCGGCAAGCTATCGCCTCGGATCGCCGCCAAAGCCCAGATGCTGAGGACGGAGAAGAGCGAGGAAACGAGCACGGGGTGGAGGTACTGGCGCCAGTTTGCTGGGATAGAGGCGGCGGCCATATAGATGAGAATGATGAGGCTCAGATGGAGAGGCATGCCGTATCCTATCGCGTAGTATACTGGGAAGCCGACGAAAAGGAAGATGGCGGCGTAGATGGTGACGTCGAGATGAGCGCAGATCCAAGCCGCCCAGAGCTGGGCACGTGGCATTGGCAGCGGGACTTGAGGAGGGAGGGACGTGTTTTGGATTGTCAGCGTCTCATCTTCGTTGTCGGAAGCTCGAAGAGGGCTGTTCGTCGCCGGAAGGAAGTTGTGGGTCGCGTTTTGGGAGGTGGGCGGCGGCGCGATGGTGTTGAGGGATAAAGAGGACGGCGCGGCGGAGATGGTTCGCGATCCTGGGATTGAATCGGTGCGCGGAGGAGTGTCCGCGAGCGGGATCTCATCGGTCTCGTTGCCCATCTCTTCGGCGCGTTCGGTGAGAGCGCGTTTCGAAGAGCCGAGGAGGAGTTGGAGGCCGCGGGTGAGGTAGGCGGCGAGGGCCATCATGATGACGAAGCCGATGACTGGAGGGCGTTAGGAGCTTCTTTTGCGAGGGAGGTGGGCTTCTCACTGAAGACGGCGATAATTTTCATGACTTCAATGATTCCAATAGAAGGACTTAGAGGGAGCATGATGAAGGAGGGGGTGAAGAAGACGTTGATCCATCGGAGGGACCAACCAGCCTGCCGGAGTTAGTTGCGGTAGTGTCACTGAGTAGCGAGATCCTTACCGGCACGTCAATAACGGCGACAATGGCCTTTGTTTTGTGGTTTCCAAGGACCAGTTCCGACAGCAGCAAGCCGAAGAACAGAAGAATGAGACAGGCGACGGAAGCTGGAAACGAGACGCCGACGGTCTGGAAGATGACGCTAACGCCGAAGCATGCAGCGAGCATGGCCATGATGCCGAAGGGGACGTAGAGCCACGAGACAAGGATTTTCGGGGCAGATTGAAGTAAAGCCTACCGATAGTGTTAAAAATCCGCGATTTGAAGTCTTTTGATGCAATTGGGACACGGACCAGCTTTATCGCCTCAAAGGCGTCCACGGAGTTGATGAGCCATTGAGGCCCGGCGATAGGGCCGTTGCTCGCGGTCGTCATGGTCGCTTTTGGTGGCTCAGATGCATCACAGGCTGCTGGTCCTCTTGAAGTTCATGAAAATGATCATACACACAATTATATGTATCAGCGGCTCAGACGCAACTTACATATTATAACAACTCGGTGACGTCGCGAAGGATGAGCAAGGTTCGATTCGGTCAGTTATCGCTTTGGCATCGGACGATGTCGCCGTCCAAATTAGTCAATCCGCTTCGGTTTTAGCGAATCACCTCCGATGCCGCGCCGAGACACCCACTGTAAATTAGTCTCTGTGTCAGCGCTGCAGCGCCGTCTGCTGAAGAAATTGAGCTTCCGTGTGATAAGGGGCGCCGCCTGAGATATCTTTGCTCAGGTAGGCCCGCCGATCGGCATGACTTCCGAGGGAACGGAATGCATCCGAACGGTGTCGCTCCATCTGATGCAGGAGCTAAACCCTCGCATTCCTCGCTGGCGGGATAAGATGTGGCCACTGTCAATCTTGAACAATCGCGTTCAGTCTTCGCCCTTTAAATGACAGACTTCCCAAAGTCACCGCTTACTCTTCGCTGCTACTGATGAGGTTCCATTCGACGCAGCAAAAGTCACGCTCCAACGTTTTATCTGTCACAGTATGTGAGCATCGAAAGCACAAAGACTCTCATTTTCTGCGTCTGCGAATACCTCCAGCTAGTAAATGCTTTCCATGCCAAACTTTTCCCCGATTATCGTAAGTCCATATCTCATTATGACCGAGTCCAAAAATACATACCATGGCAGCCGCGTGCCAGTTCGAAAGCAACCCTCCAAATCCTCTCAGATTGCCGTAAATGACAACGATGCGCTGATGTTGCTGCGTTCGTGTAATCCGCATCAAAACTACCGTCGGCGTCTACTTCATGTAGAAATTGGAAGCCAGGACACGGAAGCAAACGTCCTGACGCGAAACGACGCTGTCTTTGATGTTTGAATGGCGCATGTTGAACACACTTTTGGTCTGCTTGAGTAGGTTGAAGACTGCTGTGATGGAACTGACCAGCTGGTCGTTCACACCTTTGACGTTCTCGATTTCAACCCACGTCCGCTGTTGATCGTGGAATACTGCCAAGTTTTTCTGGCGTGCCTCACCTGAAAACGATGTCAGTCTTTGTAAAAGAGATAAAAGTGTTGGCAATCGTAGAGCTGTTTGAAGATGCAAACGTACCTTGCCTCTGTCGAACCCATTCCTTCACCTCGTCAATTGTGACTCCGGTGGTCTGATGTCGGACGAAATGAATTCGCTTCAGGACAACGAACACAAAGACATTCTGGATGTGAGAGAAGTTCTTTGAGAACATGGCAAGCTCATAGGGGCAGAAGGGCAAGTTCAAGTGTTCGCGGCTGTCGTTGGTCACATGGGGCCAACATCTAATCCTGCATTCCAGACTTTTGCACTTCTGGCCGTTGAAGTAAATGCCGATGCTGCGAATTCCTGGCTCGTGAATTCCATAGGTATTATGTAGACGTGAGAGTTCAGTCGCACGAACCCCCCAACTCATAATCACTACGCCTAGTCGCATGTCCAAGGCGAGAATATCTTGGTTGCCGCGCAAAGCGAGGTGGACGTTTCCTCTGAGGGATTCGAACTTGGCGCCGAATTTGTGCTCAATGAAAGACTTGAAGTCTGGAATTGCGCCGCCAAGCTTCATAAGCTCATTGAATTCTGAAGTCTTGGTGAAGTGGCTCGCTTGAAATTTCACCACGCCGCCAGTCGACGAATTGGCTCCTGGCCCGCGAAGTATACATCGCGCATGCACCACGGCCGGGGAATAGTTGACGGCTGACTCGAGTATCATGTTCTTGATCTCAGGAGGGAGGCGTGGAAACAGATGAAAGGTCGAAAATGGTTCAGTCTGCTCTTCGGAGTTTGCTGTGGACAGAGTGGCTGCGTTGCTGACAAGAGCAGCTTCATCAGCTTCGGCGGCGGCAGTGGAGACCGCGAGCGACTCATCGGAAGAAGAAGTGTCTGAGGACAACCGTCCAGCAGAGTGAGTCTTGTTTGCCATCTTGGTCAATTGGTTGGAGATGGCAAATGGGGCTTCCGAAACAAAGTGCGCCTGCAGATGATTAGTCACATCGAGATGTTAGAAAAGAGCCGTTGTTGGGCAAGATAGAGATCGTGTTGAAGATGGGGCTGGGTAATTGCCGGGGGAATTGAAGTATGGGCTTGGTTTTATTTTGAATATCTTGCCGCTTCTGGGGTGGAGGAAGAATCTGTTGAAGGGATCGTTTGCAGGCTTCCGGTTGGCCGATTAAGAGAGTGCGGGCGGGCTGTTGTGGGATGAACTTGAGTGAAAGGAATGATTCAAAACGTAAGGTATGACAAAATCGTTCATAAATTGGTCGAAAGGTGCATACCTCAGTTCGGAGCGTGACTTGCTTGGGAGCGGAACTCGAGCAATTCGCCGGGGTGATATTTCTGGCGGATGGGATGGCAGACGTGGGCTTGATTTGGAGATGTGCGAAACAGGCTTACCGATGGATGGAATTTCAGGGTGAGACTGCTGGGTCAGGTCGGGTTGAGATGCTTTTCGGAAGGTGTCGTGTTGTGGTGAAGCCACAAGAGGCTGGTCGAGTATCGGGGTGCGGGTTGAAGGAAGAGTAAGTCGGCCGTCCACGTGGCGCAAACCCGGAACCAAGTACTTCGGGTGGTTTGAAAACGGAAGAAATCGTGGAGTCTAGAAAGATGAAAGGTGAAGAATTTGGGTGAGGAGGTCGAAGTCCTCCCCTGGGATGGTAGTTGTTGAGGTTGCGGCCCTAGAGGTTTGGGCAAGGCCTCGTTTGTGAAAGAAGAAGGGAGAGCGAGGTAGAGAGGGGGGGAAGATTTTCCTTTCGGATGGTTTTGCTGCTTTTTGAAGAAGAAGCTACAAACACGGAAGGCGCGTGTGATTTCCTACGTCCCCAATTGGAAACTGGAGGAGCCGCAGCTGGCAAATGTCGACTGCCAAGGCAAGAGCCGTTAGACTTCACATATCTCGCCTTCTTTATTCGATTCAGAAGGTGAAATTTCTTTTTGTTTTTTACCTACCCACGTGACATGTATGACACCAAGAAATGTCTGTTTTCTCTTGAAGCTTCCACAAGTCATGGCCTTGACGGACACTTCGTCACTGCCCCCCTCCCCTTGTTATCGAGTATCAATACAAATAGCCACTGGAGATAGTCTTCCAGGAAACCTGATTACTTTCCTGTAAATCAAATCACATGATCCGAATCAAACAAGGTTGGTCAACCCACAGGTCATCCACCATCTGCCCATCCAGCTGTATGTCGTGCTCAGCGTATCTTTGCGTGCCATCAGACATAATACAGACTGCTGGCCCGACAATCCTCCCTTTTCGCACTGGTTTTATGTGAATGTTCTGAGATCCGTTCTGGGTTGTGTTCTCGGATCCCGTCAAACCACCTATCGTATTACGGGCGCCACGGGTGAAGCGATTCATCCAGCTCGACTCAGGGGCTGTTGCAGCCCTCTGGTCAGCTGTTCGGAAAGGCACGTTCCTGGCGGGAGACTCTTCTGCCTGTAATCTTATCACCAGCATAGTCGCCATGAAGCGGCGAGTCTTCTTCCCGCTCATGATTTTCTCATGCCTGCTGCGGTCCTCGCCAAAACGCCACACCGGAACCAGAATGTCGCCGGCCTCAAGAGCACGCGGCCCAAGTCCAAAGTCTCCGCGAACTTTGGACAAAGACCCCGCAGTATCCCATATGGAGATACACTCCAAAGGCTCCAGTTTAAAGATACAGAAATCTTCAAGAATTGCATGTATCTCCTCTACCAAGCCCATCTGATCAAAATCCATCGTCAATGCCGACGAGCCAAGGACGTCAAAAATGGTGCGAGCGATGAACGTTTCCTCAATTGCCCAATCTGGCTTGCGAAACCTGATGGTATTGCAGAAAAGCATTGAAATTGTTTCAATCTCGGCTCTGCAGTCATGTGGTGGTGGGAAGAAATCTCGTAGGATGTCTCTGACTCGTCTCAATGCCATGGGTGACGATACATCTCTATTAGATGTCGGTGAAAGGGCTTGAATCCGCGATAACTCCCGGCCTCTATCTCCACCCGAAGAGTCGTGCCAACGGATGTACAAATGGTCGCGGTCAAAAAAGACTTCTGTGGTGCGATCCTCGGTCCAGTACGGGACTTCCTCGCGGTAGTACGATGCCCGGACTCTCTGTTGAGTGCGTTTGGCACCGGGCTGCAGTCGTCTTCCAAATTCACTGGGCGGAGTGTGAACTGTGGTATGTGGCTGCATAAGTACGGCTGTTTCTGGATAACCAGGTCTGGAGGGATAGTCGAACAGGTCGAGGTTACTCTTCATCGTATAGTACGGGAGGTCCCGACGTCGTTCCTTCGACCAGTCCGGCACCCAGGACGGGAATGTACTGTCAGAGGCCACTGCCAGCTGCCCGAACTCGAACAGATGAAGGAGCATCTGCAGCGCAGTGTTTTGACTCCGGCGGAACATGATCTGTGCAAGTCTTTTGTAAATACTGGTCCATGGAGATTTGTTATAGCCCAGTGTGAATGTCTCGTCCTCAGGAATGAGACCATACAAAGCCGCGATGCGATCTTGTTGTTGTGCACATCCGGCTGCATGAAAGTTCCAGAGCAGCTCCAAGATCGGCTTTCGTTCGCTGACCAGGTTCTGTGTGACGCGCAGCTCATAGCTTACCACGCGTTGCACATACTGAAGTCGCTGGGCTGCGGATACGAACCAAGAAAGGCCGAGTGAGTGTTTCCCGCAATGAATTTTGGCTTGGCGAGCTAGACACGCCTCTTGAATGATCCAGCGGCGTGTGAACCATGCCCGAGTGAGAAAGATTCTCATGTGAAAGATGTAGTCAGGGCCGAGGACCTTCTCCATCGCCGCAGCCGTCTGTCGTGCCATGTCGACGGGGAGCCTGGTCTTGTTTGGTATCATGGCCACGACACGCAACGCGGCAAATAACCTGGCAGTCATTTCGTCTTCGTCGCCTATCCAAATGTGGACTTTCCTAGCACCTTCGTAAATCTCACCCATCAGGGGCACCTGCTGCGCCTTTTCGTCATCGTCTTTCTGATTCAGGCAGATAGCGTCGATCCATAGGTAGCGCGGCTCATCCGGCTTTCTCATGTGTCGCAAGAGTGAGTCGACGATCGGGGTGACCATGAGCCGGGACGAGCCCTGGTCAATGAACAGGGGATGCGAGAAGACGGGAGAGCCCCAAGTGTACGACACGGCTGCATAGTCGCGAGTTCGATCGAGAGCTCCCAGTTGTCGCGAGCGACTGTACTGACTTATTGAGCAATGCAGAGGCGCATCAGGCTCCGCGGCAGGCTCGAGCACAATGACGCGGATTGCATCATCAGTCCAAAGAGGAGAGTATTCATACTCGCGGATCGAGGCGAAGTCCATCACGGTAGCTTAGCATCAAGTCTTTGATAAAACGGTCTACCACATGAGCTGCGCAACTGCAAGCCGAATGGTTTGCGGGGTTTTTCGCGCCGCTCATGATTCTGACATGGGGCCCGGTGTACCGCATGCTGATATGATAGGTCGACCGTGAGATCAGGCTGGTCGATCGATAAGCTGGCTCATGGTCCAACAGCAGATATCCTTGAGTTTTACTATCGGGAAGGTTACTTCTAGCTACTGTGGAGTACTTATATCAGGCCAAGTTCTCTATTCAATTTGACCAACTTCACTATTACTGTCGCCCCTATTTTCCCTGTCGTTCCTATCCCCATCGTCGCCGTCCTTGTCGTTCTTGTCGTCGCCGTCGTCGTCGTCCTTGTCGTCGCCGTCAATGCTCTCTACCCGTGCAGAAAGCAAAACTCATATCCTTTTTCATAATAAATTGAGAATCATTTGAGCGCGATGATATTTTGCTCTCATTTCAATCCGGGATGAGCGGTTCTGTTTTCGAAGAAGAAATGCCGCCGAATTCCCTGTATCTCCTTCCCATTGCTCTTTGGGCAAGCTGTCGTCCAGACGATTCAGTGACGGCGCATACATGCTCTCAATCCAATTTCTCGCGTCTTTCAAACACATCTAGCAGAAGCATCAAGGTCTCGTATCCAATTGAAGCATACGAGATCGTGCTCTTGAGCCCATTCAGGTCCGTTCCAGCGTCGTTGCGATAACACCAAAGATAAATGATTGGGTCTGCGGTTTTAGTTTGCCGAAGTGGTCACCCGTGGATAGCGACGTAATCGGAAGCCGTGTGAAAACTTTCCTTTCTCTTGCCTGGGCAGCATGGCCATATGTCTCCATCATTCTACCTCGGTCTCTTCGTACTCCGCACGCGCTTGGTCACGTTAATCAGCCTTTGGTCGTCAAAGGACCGATTCTCACGGCCGAATTTCGGACTTGCTCCGCTCGATATCCGTTTGCAGCGATGAAGAAACCGAAAACCTCGTATCGGCATCAATAAACAGCTCACCAAGTACATCTTCGGAGCCGAGCGGAGTAGGAAGAAAGAATCTCCTCAAAACTTTCGCTCGACTGCCGAGAGCTGGGATAGATGTGGTTGAGATCGACATCAGCACTCCCGTCGTTGTTATCGGTGATATTCAGGGGCACAGCATCGGTTTTCCCAAACCGCTCCTCCAATTGCTTGGAAACGGGACGGTAATCCTGATTGCAGGAGGTGACTGGAATGCCAACGACTCTCGCGACCCAGTTCATCCGAACCGCAAAGTCGATGACGAGATAAGCTCCGCTCTCGAGCACCGGTGCCGGGTGAACTCCCATCAAGACGGATAAGCATAATTTCTGCCGTAACGATGTCTTCTTTCCAGCTCAAGAATTCTAAGTTGCAACGCCAACCTCGTGTTTCCGCTTCCAAGGCCATGAGCATTTCTCACTCCCGCCCACTCTCAAACGCCGCTTCTTCCCACGATCGACGCCTCCACATTCCACCCACACCCCCTCAAACTATTGCGTAGTGTCTTGGCCCTGCAACAATCTCTCACACCCAGGCCGGATCCGACAACATCTCCTGGATGCGACCCCACTGAACCGGCTCTCGCGTGCAGAATGCAAAGAACAGAAGAAACTTTCACGACCTTCTCGTGTTCTTCTCGTGGGTTGTACCAAAGATAGCTGCAGCTTTCCCTCATTCGTTCTGTACTATGAACGCCAAAACGGCGAGCGCACGCGGATCTCACGCCAAGGCCGTCCGCATTCGTCGACCTTCGGGATTCGTCTTCGCGATGTTGCTGAACCTTCCTGATGATCTCTGTGAAGCGAGCGGATTCTATCTTGACCGTTTCCGGGTCTTCACCCTTGATGAAGCTTTCGACATGAGAAGTCTTCATCGAAAGAAGTGCCTATATCAAGACTGCATGAGCCGGTCCATCAAGCCTCCTTTCTTCTCATCATCACAACACCATTCACAAGAACAACAATCACAATCATAACAGTCTTTCGTTTGAAACCCCACATTCGCTCACAATGTCCCGTCTCATCCTCGTCGCGGCCTTCTTGGCTGGCGTCCAAGCCCAATCCTCTTCGACCCAGGTCACCGTCGTAGTCCCTCCGACTACCACCGTCACCCCTGGCACCGTGTCCACTGTGACGCCTGCCGGTACCACCGTCATTGGCTCCGGCACTGACACCACTGTGACTGTCCCGGCATCTTCCACCGTCTCCGTGGGAACCGACTCCTCCGTTGGGACCGTTTCCTCCGTGATCACTCTGCCGGGAAGCGACACCGTCACGGTCTCCGCGCCGACATCCACCACCGTGATCACGGCCACAGACGCTTCCGGTGCTACTACCGTCCCAGTCACCACCTCAACTTCCTCCTTCATCGACCCCGGCTTGTCTCTCTCCACGACCTTTACCATAACCACCGACACAACCATCCTCACCGTCCCTCCGGCGGTCAACACCTCCCTTCCGGTGCCCCCGGTTGATCCCAACCAGACCTTCATTTCGACCACAGTCGTCATCGGAAACTCGACGACCGTGATCCCCTTCGTCCCGATTCCGCCTACAGTCGCCCCCGTGCCTCCTCCTAACAACGGCACCGTCCCTCCGTTCAACAACGGCACAAGCCAGCCCACCATCACCCTCCCTCCTCCCGTCGTGACCATCCCTCCCCCTACCGTCACGACGACATGCAACTACAATGGCACTTGCAGCATCGTCACCCTCCCGCCTTGCGTCACAGTCACAACTTGCTACGCCAACGGAGCCTGCGTGCCCGTAACAACTATTACCTACCCCATCACAACACCCACACCTCCTATCGTCCTCCCTCCTCCTACGACTCAGCCGTACGTGACCACCGCCACACGCTGCCGCTTCAACGGAACTTGCGAGACCATCACCAGAACCTACCCCGTCCCGCCTATCGTCACCACCGGTCAGACCACCAGGACCAGAACCTACACCACCTGCGATTCTAGCTGCCGAGTCGTCACGACCGTCCAGACCTCAAGCTACACCCGTGTCATTCCCCCTGCCAGCTTCACCACCCGCCCTACTGTGCCCGGAACTCCCCAGCAACCTTCCCAACCTGGCGTCCCTGGAACTCCTCAGCAGCCGACTATCCCCGGCCAACCCCCCGCTCAGCCCTCCGTGCCGGGTACTCCTCAGCAGCCTTCCCAGCCCGGTGTCCCCGGCACCTCCCAACAGCCTTCTCAACCTGGTGTCCCGGGTACTCCTCAGCAGCCTTCTCAGCCCGGCGTGCCTGGAACTCCCCAGCAGCCTACTCAACCTGGCGTCCCGGGAACCCCTCAACAACCCTCTCAGCCGGCTGCTCAGCCCCCTGTCACTCCGGGTAAGCCTACTACTGCCGCGCCGCCCGTTGCCACCGGCACCAGCCCTGGTTCAAGCCCCACGCCGGTGGTCACCGCCGGCCAGAAGGCCCTGCGTGTCGAGATGATGAGCTTGGTTGGAGCCATCGCCGCGGGCATGATTCTGTTCTGAGAGAATCATATCACTTCATGAGCATGTTGCATATGCTTGGAACAAGAAAAGTCTCCTTTTTATTTTCTTTGTCAAAGGCCCTCTAGAATTTGGCCGGAAGAAAAAACATAGATCGCAATAGAAGTTGAACGAAGGGGTCTCTAGATAGAGATGATAATGACCAATAATATTAATGATAATACCTTGTTGTGTTTATGAGTGACTTGTGAGCTACCATTGTGCTCTCCATCTATGAACCTCTTGTTTCCCCGTATGTCCTTCAAGCAACCTCTTTGGCCGGACTGCCGTTGTCCAATGTCACTATCGCCCGGGTGGCCATTGCTGTCCGCCAGAATATTAAAGATCCCTTTTATTTACGGTCACCGAGACTTCTTGGACCCTGCGAAGTCTTATTACTACGGTCGAACAAGGTTCGGCAACTGCAGGGTCAAGCAAGCATTTCAACCTTGAGTAGAGACCTATAAGAGGCGATTTCCCTAGCATGTAACATGGGCTTAAGACATGCAGATTATTCCGACATTGCAGTCTTGCATCGCAGCTTCGTATTGTTGTCCTTGATTTATCCCGAGCAACAAAATTGCGATGGAGCTGTGCAACACTCGAATCGCCAATATGGGGGGTATGGAATGCGAGAGCCAAACCCTCCGCGGAATATGCGTGATTCTGGTCAGTTTTCTCTTAGGCCTTTTCATTCATGCTCTTCTTCCCCAACGACGCACTACTGCGCCATCTGAAGGCCAAGAATCCGACGAAAGCTCAGGTGGTGATCAGCCTCATGACGCTGCGCCCTCCGAGCCCGCCAGGCTTCCGACAACATCAGGTATAGATTTACCCGCCACAGGCGTTGCCGATGGCATCGTGATGGAAACTCGGCAGCAGAATACAGCCCTCGTTTCCACCGTCAAAGCCCCCAAACATCATGCGATAGCTATGGCTTCTCCGTCGCTGGTCAGCACGCCTCTTGTCTTGACTGCCGAGCCTCGACCACCGTTCCAACCGAACGTTCGAAGCTTGACGCAGATACCGAGAACTACGTTGCCGCCGTGGGAAATTGCTTTCGAAGCCAACGTCAAGAACAGCCGCCTTTTTCACCTCCCGGAAGAAATCCTGCTTCTTATCCTGCAACTCGCCGATATTCCAGACTTGTACATGTGGCGCCAAGTTTCCTTTACATTCTGGCGCATCTACCAGAGCAAGTATTTCCGGAATTTCCATCGGGACGGCAAGTTGTTCTATGAAATCGAGAAGGAGGGGCTAAAAGGCTTCGAGCACGATGAAGAGACTAAGAAACGGGCAAGAGACCAGGCGTATTGCGATAAGTGCATCGCCAAGACACAATCGAAAAAGATCGTCAGTCCCATATGGAGCCTCCAGTTCAAGACGCTCTACTGTTCTTTCTGTCGAACAGACCATCCTCGATCCTGGTTCTCGCACAAGGAGCGTCAAAAGAAGTATGTCGGCCTTCGCTGTGTTTCATGGGAGGGGCACTTCCGAGCCTGCCCTCACGAGACTGTGTCTATGCCGTTGATCCTACAATACGTCGATCGTATCGGCATAGCCGGCAAGGATCGCCACACATACCACGATATTGTCATTTGTCAGGTCTGCCAAGACGTCGCTGGCAAGCTCGCGGGAGAGGATATCCGCACTCGCAACCACATTACTCCCCCAAAGGTTTCGTTATTGAACGCAGGGCCGGACTACCGAGACCGTTCTCAGGTCATGTTCTTGATCGATTGGACACTACCTGTCTTTGAGATTCCCGAGGACCGTGATGTTACATACCTTTTCCTACTACGGCGCTTGAGAGAGTTTGAGAAGACATACGGCGACATGCTTTGCCCGCACCTTCCTCTCGAGAGACTTCTCGCGCCTTTTGACTCGCGCCTTTGTGTCTGTCTAGGAGGCGATAGAAGAATCGGGGGCATATCGCCATGCGAGCGCAACATCGACTGGGTGGACAAGCATCACCCAGCTCGCGGTTGCAAAAGAAAGGGCACTACTCGGATCTCGGGTGTTTTCCTGTCCCAAGATGACAAATACCCAGCCAAACACGAAGTCACATGTAGAGATTATTGTGGAAATTTCATCTGGACCAGAAAGGACCGCTTCGTGTTTCTTAGCAGGCATACAGCTTCTCTTGTACATGCAGACGGCACTGGAAGGCCGTGGTATGCGCATGCCAATAATTTGCTGGAGCCACAATCATACGGGGCAAAGGACGACATCGAGGCGAAGCATGTCTTATGGTGCGATGATAAGACCTGCAGGAATGGCAGGAAGTGGAAGGATAGTAGACACTGATTTCGATTCAATAATTTTGCAACTTAACACCGATAGTCAAAAGGCTTCCGCTCACGGGCCAAGTAGGAGGAGACTAGTGGTGATCGGATCGACATGAACGTGGACGCTAGCTTGGGCATCCACAATTTCAGCGGAGAGGATCATTTTACAACGATCACTCAAGGCAAAAAAGAAGACTCAGGCATAAGACCACGCACAAGCTAGCTTAGAGAATACAACTGAGGTACGAAGATAATGAACAATCTTTTCACTGATATCGAGCCGTCTGTGACGGACTGAGGCTACCTAGGTACGCCAAACGCCAAGCCATTCCTGCCTCCGGAGATATTTTACAGCCACAATTACGCACCACGGGGCTTCGCCTTGGCCGCCGCCTTCTCCTTTTTCTCAAGCTTCTGCTTCTTCTTCTTCTCTTCGTTCTTAGCATCCAGCTTGCGCTTGGCGTCGGCCTTCTGCTCGTCCGTCTTGGGAATCACCTTGAAGAATCCGTCTAGGCGAACCTGCTGGCTGCTCTTCAGGTTCTTCTCCAGTCTAGCTCCTGCAGAGCGCACACGGTCCTCTGAGAATCCCTTCTCGGTGACGAGGAACTGCACAAGACCGTCCATATCAGGCTTCTCCCACTTGAAATCGCACAACGGGTCGTCGGCCGGGCGGACGTCAGGCTTGAAGAAGAGCTCGCGAGCGTCCTGGTAGGGCCAGTCCTCGGGGATCTGGTATTTGCCCTTGGGGTCTTCCTTGATCGCCTCCACCAGCTTGTCCAGAGTGCCGTGCTCGCGGATGAGCTTCAGGGCGGTCGAGGGGCCGACCTTGGGGATCGGGTCAAGGTAATCGCAGCCGAGGAGAATGCAGAGATCGACGAACTGTAGGGTCAAGTCAGCGAATGACATCAGGGCGTTGGAGAGAAAGAGTACTAACCTGCTCACGCTCCATGCCCAGGCCCTCGAGCACCTTGTCGATGTGGACTTCCTGAATGGGCTCCTTGCGCTGCTCGCTGAAAGTCAGGTGGCGCAGGAGAATGGGTGTGTCGAAGGTGAGGGTATCCATATCCTCGCTAGCAGCGGCGTAGACCTTGCCGGCGCGAGCCAGCACGGCACACTGCGCCTCAGCTTCGGTCGGGGCGACGATGAAGGGGATGCCCATCAGCTTGAGCAAGCGCTGGCACTCGGCATTGTGCTCGCGGGTGACGCGGACCGTCCGTCTGGAGAACTTCTCGACGTCCTCGGCCGTTCCAGTCTCCTTAGCCTCCTCGAGGTTCTCGTTGGCCTCCTGCTTGCGCTGGAATCGCTTGGCCAGCTCGCCAGACTTGAGCTTGGGCGGGGCACCGTCGAAGACGTAGAGGGGCTTGATGCCGTTGTCGACCATTCGCAGGGTGCGGTAGAAGAGACCCATCAGATGTGAGGTGGTCTCGCCGCTCTCGTTCATGAGCTGCTGGCCATCAGATCGGACGGCGATGAGGAAGGAGTAGATGCTCATGGACCTGGACGCAGAGTCAGCGAGGGGCAGTCAACGACGGTAGGGGAGGAAAGAGGAAGACGCACGCATCAATGGCGACTTTGCGGCCAAAGTGGGCCTTGATCTCGCCCTCCTTGATGGCATTGGGAGCCTCCTCCTTGATGATCTGGTAGAGGTTTTTGATACCCATCTTGCTGTCGTGGTCGCGGGAGTCGTTGGATGCAGGGAAGTCGAAAAGTGCGAAAGGTTGACGCGCCTGGTGAGGTCATGACGCGCCGCTGGACGCGTTAAGTGGCTGACTAAGGCTTCAGGCAGTCTGTGCGCACACCCCGGCCACGGAAGGAGGCAGCGACAGGGATCACGATGCAGGCAGAAGGAGCTCAAGACATGGAGTTGTGTCGATTTTTGACGTCGTGATGATCTTTTGCCGTGTTGAGCATTTTCGAACGAGTGCTTCCAGGCAAAATTTGTGACGTAAAAATCCCTATGTCCCAAGGCCGCCGAAAAGGCCAACAGCTGGTCACACGCATCGTGGTATCACTCGCTCTGTTTGCCTTCTCCTTCGCGATCTCCGTTGCTGCCCTCGTTGCCTTTTCCCATATCCGTTGCTGTCTCTGGGCTCTGTCTCTGGGCTTTGGCTTGATTCTCGCTCTTTCTTTCTGATGTCCAAATTGTAGCTCAAGTCGTGCTTGACCACCTCTCCAGCGCTGCTTCTTCAAGTCCAGAGGACGGTTGTACTCGCTTCGTGCGGCCACTTCCGGGGATCTATGCCTGTAGTGGAAATTGCGATGGATTATCAAAGCCTCAGGGCAAGGGAACATGTGCGCCGGGATGGGAAGAACGAACTGGAAGAGCCACAGCCAGAGGCCAAGTGCTTGGTGTTGTGTGAATCGTGAGTTAAGAGGCCGTATTATGCTGGTTTTTCATATTCTCGAATTTAGCCCCAAGAAAATCGGGAGCGGTCGACGCAGATGCCTCGCGATCCATTTGCAAAAGCTGTTGTCCGCGGCCCGCCGAAGATGGCCACGAACAGTCAAGCTGAGCTTTCCGCAAGTGGCACACTATCATCAAATCCAGAGACCCGACGCGCTTTTTGTCAAGGAAGACTTGTCGCACCGACTCGCCCAGCGAGACCTTTCCTGGATGAACCGTGTCAGAGGTGGACTGGTGACCTGTCAAGCATCGGGTACATCATCTGAAATATCACGGGAAGCCAAATTTTGCATCACAGTCAAGTCAAGTGGCGCTTATATCAGTTCCAAAGTCACGATGGATAGGGAAAAAGATGTGTGTGTGAAGTTGTGTTAGTGGTTGCTACGGAGCGTGCCATTCGTGCATGCCCAAGGTGAGAGACCAATCCAGCTACCAATCTCAAAAGCTGCTACCAAGCTGTCCTGTTCCAATGACAACCTGCCCAAGGCATTCCAAGTCCTGTTCGATCCCAAAACGTACCACCCAAACACTTAGCCCGGATGGCTCATTCTGTGAAATCAGATGGCAAGAAGAAGAGCCAAGCCGGCGACGAGGCCAGCACCGGTCTTCTCAGCACCCGAAGAAGGGATGGGAGTGATGGTGCCAGAGGCAGAGACAGTGGGAGTCATGACAGCAGAAGTGCTGCCAGACGTGGTGCCAATGGTGGAGGTGGCCACGCTGGTGGTCTCCTCAGTGATCACCGAGGTCTGAACCAGAGAAGTGGTGACCTCAGAGGAGGTAGCCATGGGAGTGGTCATAACCTCAGAGGAGGACATGGTCGAGGTGACCTGAATCCACTCACAAGTGGTGGTGGTCACCGGGCGACAGACCTCGCTGTTCATAACTACAGAAAAGTTAGCAAATGAGACCAGAAAGAATAGAGACAAGTGAAAACACGAAAACACGTACCAGTGAAGCCGTTGCCGCCAGTAGGGATCGGCTTGTGAATGGCATCGCCGAGGACAGTAGTCAAGACCGGCTGAGCTGGATGAAAATGAAAATTAGCCAGGGCGTTGTGGTGAGACGGGAAAGGAAACTTACGGAGCTCGGTGTTGTCGGTGAGCTTGACACGCTGCTGAGCAGCGCCACGCGTGGCAAAGTGGCCAATGATGGCAACAGAAAGCTTGGCGTTCATAGAGAACTTCATTGTGCCGGCTGGTGATGGTTAGAAGGACGAGAGAAAAGAGAGGGAGAAGCATTTGACTGACCTGTCGAGAGTGGGTAGGTTTTGGGTGTTTGTGAAGGGTTGAAGTGAAGTTTGCAAGGCTTTGGAGAAGCGAGTAGAGAGAGAATGTATTTGCGTGGGTTGAAAAAAGAAAAGAGGAAGAACTTTTTCGAGAGGAGGGTAGAGGAGGGGGATATTTGTACTTGATTGGGGAGTGATTGAGGCGAGCCTGTACCAGCCCTCTCTCAAAGGGCACAGTCTCCGCTCTTTTGACTGCTTCAAGAGGGCAAGTGCAAGAGAGAACTGAGGGTGCCTCGAGGAAAACACTGCAGCTCTGATTTTTGTGATTGGCCGATTGGGGGTTGGTTGTCAGGTTGACCATAAAAGTGAAGGTATCGAGAGATCAGGAAGCGGGTCCAGGTGGTTTTCCATGACCAAAAGGGCGAGAGCAGGGTGGCTTTGAGATGGTTATGATGTCGTTGGGTTGAGCAGAGCTCTGTGTGACTTGCTGATCTCTGAGCTGCGGAAGGCCACGGAAGGTTGAGGTGGGTGTCTTTGGAAGAGAGTGCGCAACTCGCACTCAGCGCTGGCAACTCAGCTTCAGCGCAGGAAACTCCCAAAAAGTGTAGAAAGCTCTTTGAGGGCTGGAAAAGGCATCTTAGGGCTTTGAAGAGATTTGGGTGCTTGCAGACTGCTTCTTTTGAGGTCATAAGTTGGTGGCTCCGGGCTCTGTTTGCTTTGTAGAGGCGGATGAAGACTGGAAGCATCGAGAATGAGCGCGGGCATCAATTTAAGAGTAGAGATTCCATGAATTCTGTCAGACTCCTGGCTGTTTGATATGGTGGATGGACTGGGCCACAGCAGGGCGGTGGCTCTGAGGTCCTGGGGTGGGCGCGGGGGAGAGGACTTGGCGCCTTGAGGTGAACAGGGCGGCCAGTCGAGACCATAATTGACAAAATATTATTGAATTTTTTGCAAGTCACCTTACTATGGACCCTGGTCTTGCTTGCAGCCTCCAGGTGTGTCTGGCCCTCGAGTCTCATCTTTCTGGCTGCTGGAATTTCCGATGTTCGACTTCCACTTCAACACTCGTCCTCCCAGAGTCGATGCTCGTCACACGCAGCTCGGCAACCCAATTATTGACGCGCCGACTCTCCTTTCTTATCCTCGGTCAATTACTTCAGTAATCCAGTCTTGCCCATTCGTTTACTCTGCTGCCTGTGCCTCAAGACTGGTCAACATGGCGTCCACCACTATAAATGATCTCCCTCAGGAGATCGTCAACGCGATCGTCAGCGAGATCATCGACGAGCACACTTACGGATTATCCGACATCGAAGATATTTCCGGTATTGTTCCCGTCTGCCACAAATTCATGAGCGCTGTGAAGGACATCGCCAGACGCCAGCACCAAAAGCTGGAGAACAAGCTCGGCACCTATCTCCTCAGCTCAATCTACAACGACGCCCTCGCCGCCTTCTCGTTCCCTTCCTTCGCCAAGCTGAACTCTCTGGCCACTGACGAGGAGAAGAAAAGATCGATGAAGGAGCATCTCACGAACTGGCAGAGTCTTGAGCTTTTCATGACTTGCACCCGCAGTCCCACCCAGCAATTGGGCGTCTGCCACTTCATCGACAAGACCATCATTCCCTTTGCCGAAGACTTTGCCCTCAAAACTTCCGATCTCGACGCCAAAGACTTCCAGATGCGCCTCCCCGAGTGGGCCGAGTCGAGCCTCAAAGGAGCTTACCAGCCGCTGGTGCTGGAGGTACCCGCGATTACCTCCTACCACCCCAACGAGAGCCGTCGAATTCTCCGCGCGTTCTGCCGATTCGAGCTCCTGTCCCATGTCTTCAGAGCTAGGCCTGGTCTACAGCTCTGGGATCTCAAGGCTCAGCACGAGCTGCTCGACGCCTACTTTGACCAGCATGAGATGGAAGAGGTACTTTGCGTCTCCCAATACGTCAATGACCTCCACGTCTACCTCTTCCGAGCGTTCATGAGCGCCAATGACGGCCGCGACGTTCAGGAGGATTTCAGACAGGTCTGTCGCGCCTTTAAGCCCGTCAATGGAGTCTGGAAGATTCCCGACAGGTACAACATAACGCGCTCAGATTCTGGTGAACGCATATGGTATGCCACACACGTCCACGACGAGACCGTCACCCGCATCGACAAGATCCAATTCTTAGACACTATGACGCAGTCCACAGTCATCAAGCAGATCTCCACCTTCGGCTTGGGCTTCTTGCGTTCGTTCCTCGCCTCGCCCATCCAAGAGTATAGACAGTGGATGGTGAAGTACGCCGACATGATCCTCAAGGACATCTGCACGGCTGAGGTCGAGCACGTCGGCGCTGAATCCAACTGGACCTGGGCAAACCACTACGGAAAAGTCTGTCCCGAGGACCCAGTCATCACCGTCCCCGGCCGCGTTAGCTGCGAATGCGAGAGAGACTCCCCCAACACCGCCTGGAAGGTCCTTGGTCATGGCGGTTCTGTCAAAACCCTTCTTGGCTTTCGCCGCTGCGGATGGGTGTTCTGGTCCGACGAGCGTCTCCGCGCGCGCCGCTTCTGGGCCATTCGCGACATCAATCCTTACCAGCGCGACATCGACCTGGACGCTGCTGAGAACCAATGGATCAATGCTCCGCTCCCAGACGTACTGCTCGAAGATCTAAGCTTTTCGGATGCTTTCAGGTTCGCTGTTCGCGAGCTAAGCAGCCTCGCGGACTGGAAGCTGCACAAATTCTGCAAGGACTCTGAGACCATGCTCAACCGTTGGCGCTGCGATTTCGTGAGCGACCTTCGGGCACGCTGCGTGGCCGTGGTCACCTTCGACGAGCTATTCGGACCGCTTGTACCGCCTGACTTACCGTTGCCCGTGGAGGTTGCTCCTGGTATCTTTTGGGGCTAGGCAGGAACTTCATCGGCGGGTGTTTGCGCGGAAGTACGATGAATGATATTCCCACGTTGTCGAAGAGACATTATGCTAACGTCGACTTCTTCCAGATGTGCTCAGCATACGAGGACCTAATGGCTGGGCATGAGTCATGGGAAATAACTCTAGCTAATGGAAAGACCGTCACCGAATCGACCAAGATGATGGGGAGAAGACGATGGAGGAAGACGCTGAAGTAGGAAGACACCGGGGGGCGAAGACGTGGTACAGCGACGACGAGGGACGACGACGACAGAGGACACCGGCGACTGACGACAGAAATAACAGCAACCACATGACCGGCAAGGACAACAAGACTGTGTCGATGGATACTGGCATATTGTCATTCGCGACCCGGCTTGAGACATGGAAGGAGTCAATCGTGTGTGCAAGCCTTCGGGTGGTGTCAAACCCCTACTACGCGTAACGACTCAATGAGAGGACGATGAACTGGCTTCCGAGATAGTATTTGCGTAGACAGAGGAAATCCGAAGAGTATCAATCATACTTCCCACTCGAATAATGCGTGAGAAGTGCGTGAAAACTACTGAGACACGCTGGGTGCTGCTTGTTATCATGTTTGTGGCGATTCTCAGATTCACTTTGTTCAATTATGACCTTGATCAAAACACGCAATAATTTCTTCAAAGTCCTCACCAATCATCAAAAGGTAAAACAAAACATGAAAAGCATTCACAAGCATCTGAATAACATTATAAACCACGCAGAATGCTTGAAACCTTCGATTTGCGAAAATGCCCCTATGATGCCCCTAGGTATCAAGGCACATTCTACCCGCTGCTCTCAAGCACATCCCAGACCATCTCCCCATGCTTCACATGCGCGCCAACACTCAACTGCGCGCCCGTCTTCAGCAAAACCTCACAAGGCATGGTCCCCTCAGCCCCGATCCGGATGGTCCTCTTCCATCCCTCTTCCTCCTTCCACTCCCACCGCTCAGCGCTGACATCCTCCCCAACCCTCGAGATGCCTTGGCAAAACCGGCCCAGCCACACAATCATCCCGCGCGCCTTGCTCGCCTCGCTCTCATACTTCAGCACGACGCACTCGGGCTTCGCCGCGTCATCCGTCTTGACAGACGCGGGCTCCGGGTCGACGTCCCGCCAAAGCTCCTCGTAGTCGCACTCCTGCCCCGTGGCAGGGTTGACCATCCGCCCCTTCTCGAGCGTGAGGTCGCCCTCCTGCGGGTACATGTCGCCCTCGTCGCCCGCCGTCTCGGGCTCCGTCGTGCGCGAGTCGATCCAGTGGTCCCAGCGCGAGTGGCGCACCTCGCCGCCCTTGCCGTCGGGGATGAGGGACGAGGAGGACGTGCCGGCGATGCCCCATTCCAGGCGCTCAGCGCCGTGTGCCTCTGCGATTCGTTAGCCGTCTTCAAAGTGTCACCTCTGCGAGTGTTGCGCTGGGCCGGAGATTGGGTTGAAGTTGAGGCCGCACTCACCTTGCCCCTCCGCAGTCGGCGCCTTCAGGATGCGGAGATCCACGAACCGGCGCTGCGGGGAAGTCAGCACGATCGTGGACGTCGGCTCGCCGGCCTCGTCAGGCACCCAGCGGATGTGTTCGCGGAACGAGATGCTGCCCATCTTGATGTTGGTGTTTTCTTTCTTCGATGACGAACTACTGAGTGAATTGCTTCAGCTGCGCGAGGTGGGGTTCGCAATTGAGGAGGCGCGCCGCCCGGGCAAACGGCCAATGATCCACATTAACCCGGCTAACGCTTTCACGCCGTCATACCCCCCAACACTAACCGGCCGATCTGCATCGCCAACTCTGCGTCTATTACTTTATCCTCTATGCGAGATCTATGTCTAAGTCTATATGCACTGCAATCCATCTCAACACTCTCTTTCTTCATCAAACCGAAACCCCTCACGCAGATTTCTCAAGCCTCTCGACAACCTTCACCAACCCCTCGATCTTCTCCTCGCACTCCTGCTTGCTCCTCTCCTGCGCTTCGTACGTCTCGCGCAGCCGGTCAACCATGAAGGGCTTCAGCGCGGTGCGCTTGGCGGTCTTGTAGTCGTACACGACAATGTCCTCGAAGCAGCGCGCCGCGGGCCGGCGGTGGCGGTCTGAGACCAGCAGGGCCTCCAGGAGGACGAAGTCCGACTCGTAGGTCGGCTTGGCGGCGAGCTTGTGCAGGACGGTGACGTTGTCCGGGTAGGCCATTGGCTGTGAAACGTGAGCGTCCGGAGCCGAATTGCTTGACGGGCCCCAGCCGGCGATGATGAGAAGACACTGGGGACGTAGGGACTTACAAACTTGTAGTCCGTCTTGATGCTCCTCATGATCAGGCCAATGTCCTTGGGCGACATGAGCTGGTTCCATTCGTCCGCGTTCTCGGGGTCCACCGTCGTCGCGAAGTTGCGCAGCCAGTTTACTCGTGCGGACTCGGCGTACTTGTTGTAGACGACGTTATTCACATGACCTGGGTCACTTAGTTAGATGACTGCTGTTCTGCCTCACTCATGCACCACGCGATTTGAGCGTACCCTGCGCCGTGTTAGTCAGTGCTCACGAACAACACGTCTCGCGATCAATCTCACCATTGCATCCTACGACTCATCGTCAGTGTCAGGTTTTCACAGTAAAGCACGATACAAAAACCTCACCTGATCTCCCCAAGTAACAGTGTGCTTATCCAAGCCCCTCCACCCAGGCCCGGTGAGGAATCCCTCGCGGCCAGCAAGCAGCTCAAGCCACTGTCCGTCAACAGCCTCCCGCAGACCCTTCAACTCCTCCTTCTGGGCGCTGTCAAGCTGGAGACCGGCAACACGCTTAATGTGTGCCTGTAGCTCCGAGAACCAGCGCGGGTTGACCGCGGCGCCGGTCCCGTTCTCCGACGCGGCGAGACGAGTCGTGGTGCCGAAGCAGCGGCGGGCAACGGGGCCGCGGAGAGCTGAGATGGAGGCGCGCATCGTGTGGCAAGGTATCTATAAAACGACTAGCACAAAAAGAAAGTAACCCAATGTCACAAACACAGGAAAAGCAAAATCCTTCTCTGCAGACTAAAATTTGGAGGAAAGAATTTTGATAAGAAGGGTGTGGATGATGAAAGGATGAGGAAATTCGGTTTCCGTCGGCAGCAATTGGGGCGGGCGACCCGATGGAGTGGGCGCTGGTTCCGATGGCAGGGCCGTTGGCTCGGTAGTTGCGCCCTTTCGTCTCGGCTTTCAGGGCGTCGAAAGGCGCGTGGGGGAGGTGTTTGCTGTGCGGGGGCCTCGGCAGGGCACGCGACTTAGGCTGGCTTTGCGGCAGATCAAGCATCTCACCAAGCGGGGCTTTAGCCCTGTTACTCCCCTTGGTGTAGTTGGTTCATCACGTTCGACTGTAATGGTTACATTGTCATCGAAAGGTCTCTAGTTCGATTCTGGAAGGGGAGAACCATCCTTTTTGATTTTTTTCTTTAGTGATGATGCACTTTTTATACCATCGTCGCGTGCTCAATCATGCATTTGAATCTCGAGCTCTTTTTGTGCTTTGTACTATGCGATCATTTATCGCAAGATCCCCTTCCTAATCGCCGCCCCTCGCTCTCTCTATCGAGCGCGCACAGTGTCCCCGCCCCCTCACCGGCTGAAGAATTCTCGGTGTGCGGCGTACCCAGTCCCCACCCCAACGGCATCTCGGTCAGCTCGGTCAGACAGACTTCACCGGCGTGGGATGCTTGTCTTGTGGAACTTCGCAGGGCCCTGCGGCGGCGGGGGTGATGGGCGTGGGAGCGCCTGGCCCGGAGCTGCGACCGCTGCGAGCTGGTCATAGCTCCAAGAGACCCACTTTCCGGATCTGGGAGGAACCAACTGGAGGGGAGGGAGGGGACCTGCGACCGCACTTTGTCACTTGCAACCGCACCGCACGGCGCGCGACTTTTTTGGGGGGACGGGGAGCACACAGCGGTGCGCACGCGTTTGACGGAGAGATGCTTGGGCACGCTGCGATTTTGACGTCCTGGGCTGGGAGAGATTGGCATCGGTTTCTGAGGTTTCAATCACTTTCATTTATGTCGTTCTTTTCAGAGGCTGCCTCGGTGAAATGGGAGGGGATGGATGGAAGGGGGGTGTTACGCGTTGGACGGGGTCAAAACAAGATTGCCCCTCGGCCTCACCGCTGCCCATCGCGGTTCTAGCTTGGCCTCAGCTGAATGACTTTTTACAACGAGCGAAAGTTGTGAACGAAGATGAAATCTTGATATCAAGAATGGTCATGTTCCGAGGCCGAGCTGGAAACATCTTCGCGGAGCTCGCGAGGGGGATGGAGAGTTTGGCTCGTCTGGGCCCGAGTTTCCCCGTGCGGCCGGCCGGCTTTTCGCGTGGGACGGATTGGCGCGCAGCTCTAGACGGCTACCTCAACGTTTTCTTCAAGATAGCGAAACGAAATAAATATCAATCAGATTCAGGAGATTTTAGTCTCGGAATGAGAAAGTGTCCGCCTGCAAGTGCGCTGGCTTGCGAGCACAGCAAAGCAAAGCAAGGCGCGGTGCGGGTGCCGTGAGGCCTGTTCGGTCCCCCTTTTTCGTCTCGCTTGACGCGCGACTTCGCGGGGCTTGACAATCACGTCTCGCGACGAGGGGCAATCTCATTTAAACCGCAATTGATGATGCAGAAAAATAGAATGCCGTCGAGCTGTTCCTGTGCTGCATGAATTTCAGATGCCGTCTCGATCGGTGTGGTGTTCAGAGGATGAGGGACGCAAGTGTCGGTCAGGGCGGAGAACAGACGGTGACTGGCACACGTGTTCTCCTCCACATTGGGTATGCATGCGTCAAGCTTGCGATGGCATTTGGCGGCCGCAATGAGGATTTGAAGTTGTCAAAATTACATTGATGTCAATTTAGAGGGTATTCGATTCGGAAGCATAGAGATTTACTGCCCTCGAGTGTTGTTGGTGGGCCGGAGTCGCTGTTCGTGTAGAAGGGTGATGGATCGCGAATAGCTTCCATTGCCCCTCATGCCTCTCACGGGCTTTTGACTCTCTTATGAAGCACAACGGGAGCATGCAAACCGCAGATATCGCCAGACGTAGCCTGGCGACATATTTAGGTGATATTATCCATCAGCTTTGAGGCTGAGCGGTTGTGTGGTCACGAGCGCGCCTGCAGTCATTCATCGACTCTTCATCGGTCGCGTGACGCGATCGCAGCCCCTCTTTGGCGGGCGGCGGTCGCGAAACTCGGTGTAAGTCATTTCAAGCAACAAAAATGCCACAAATTCACAAAAAATATCCCCGAGCAGATCGTCGACCTAGACGATGGGCCAGTGCATTTTTTAGATGAAAAGAAGGGTGCTGTGGGTGGTTGTGCGGTGGTGGTGCAAAGATGTGCGGATAGCTTCAATCGCGAGCTTCGCGCACCGAATCACACGGAACGGGAGGCCGAACGGGACGGGGTGCGGGATATCCGGGCCGGGACGCGTTGGGAATGGAGACAAAATGGCATCAGGTGATGAAGAAAAATTCGGGCAACACAATGATGGTGCTGGCTTGGGATGAAACCGGACTGGCGAGGAGGGAGACCGGATGCGACGGGGGAGGTTGTGTTGAGGAGATCATGGACGAAGTGCGAAAAGTGGCAAGTCGACGAGGGAAAGGAGTCGGGCTGTGAGGAAAGTTGGGGCCGGGCGTGCGGGATGTGGATCGGGGGTTTGCGAGAGCCAAAAACGCGATGGAAGCGAGAAATGAGTCATTTAGCGTGATGGAGGGTGAGGAAAGCGCAAAAAGAGGGAAAAGAAGAGAGGAGAGGAAAGGGAAAAAGAGAGGTGGTTGAGGTGGGCGATGAGAATGAGTTGGGTGGGAGATGCGAAGGTGCCGGATCAGACAGCTTTTTTTTTCGTTCGTCCTTTGCGCTGTGCTGTGCTGGACTTGGGAGCCCGGGGGGACAGTCTTTCAGCGGATGGATTGCGAAAATCTGGCCAATCAGAAAAATCGACGAGGGAAGGAGGGCATTTTTATTTTAATGCGACGGAAGGAAAATGGGAAAGGTACTTGGGATAGGTACCTTTTTTCTGGGTCGTCGAACGGCGTGGCAGTCGTGATGGGGAAGGGAAGGAGCGCCTGCTGCAGTGTGCAGTGCCGTTTAGCAGGGCAGGCAGGAGTCTGTCTGGGAGTCTGAGGCGGTCCCTGAAAACCGACGACGGGGAAGGAAGGATGGACAGGCACACACTGACACTTATCTTGGGTGTGATCTGATTCTAGTGGAGGGGAGGGGAGCTTCGAGCAGGTCAGGGAGCATGCCTCACCAGTAACCACCTTTCCTAGGGCATGGCGGCATGCGCGAAGCCAAGGAGGGGATGGAGGTGTTTGCGTTTGTTTGGCGGGAACGCTGTCGCGGCAGAGGCCCCCTGCGAGGTGAGATGGGAGATGGGAGATGGGCTTGGGCCGGGTCCCTTGGGAGGAGCCGTGGACGGTGGGAAAGCACCAGAAGCACCAGAAGGCCACCTCATTTGGGCGGGCATCCACTATGAGGTGTTCGTTTATTTTCCCGTCCTGCACGGATTGGACTGGATGTGTTGGATTGGATTTACAGGGAGTCGAGCTGCTGAGGGGAGAAGAGGGGCCCCCCGTCCGGTGTCCAGGTGTCCAGGGTGTGGCAGCAGAGACGACAGAAGCTTCAGAAGCTTCATGCGACGCGTCCGGAGCTTGGTCTTTTGTTTCCCTGGAGCGCCTGCCATGGGGCCATGTGCCACCCGCTGCTGCGATCTTCGTCGCCACTTGTGAGTTCACGGAGGACAAGTTGACCATGTTGATCTGCAGATATCTATCTTGGAAGTGATGGTCTGGCATAGGACAACCTGGAGGACTGGATGGAGTGGCAACATCAGTCAGACGAGGGAAGGAGACGGACGAGGGGAGAGGAGAGGGTGTTGGATCTGATCTGTGTCTTGAGCCTCCCGTCTTGTCCATCTCGACCGCGTCTAGCAAATCACACAGATATGCGCCTCTTGGTTCCAGCCCGACTGGCGCTAATCGCCGATTCAAGTCGAGACACATCACAAAACGAGAAAGAGCAAGAGAGGAGAGGTGAGGTTGGGGAAGGAAGAGGAGGAGGAGAGAAGGAGGTGGGTGCGATGCAGGTGCAGGTGCAGGTGCAGGTGCGTGGAAAGGTAAGGTAGGGCCGGGGAAGGAAAGGATGGGAGGCACGGAAGCTGGGGCTCTGCCACACCTGCATTCGAGTCCTACCTCACCTGCCTTTCTCTCCCGTCTATGTTCGTGCCTGCCTTAATTACCTTCAAGGTTGCTGTCTGTCACCGGAGCATTAGTAGAAGGAGCATCGGAGAGCAGGAACGGTTTGACGGTTGGCGGTTAAGGTACCTACCTGCCTGCCTTCTTTAGGTGAGCTTGGTGAGGGAGGTAGGTCGACCCAAGAGAGAGGGAACCCTACTGCACCTGCACCTGCACTTGCACGCCATGTAAAGCAAGAGCAAGCACGGCAAGGCAGTCGAACCTGTCTTGCACCTGCTGCCCTAGGTACCCTTCCTGCACCGCTAGCTACCCGACTCGACGACTCCCTGCTAGGCCCAACGGGAGGGGAGAGCCGTCGAAATTCTTTCTTCCACATCTCAACCTGCAGCCCGGCTCCATGTTCCATCGTTTGTGGTGTGGGTGGTGCTGCGCTGCCCGTGGTCTGGTCACTGGTCGCGCGGATCGAGGGCGGTCGCTAAAAAACCACGCGGGCCATTACATTAGCTCACAGTTATTTTTTCCCGGGGGATGAAGGACGTGGTGGATGAGCCTGGTGGATGGAGGGGGAGGGGGTGGATGGGGGGCACGCTGGAGCCCCCCAAAGCCCAGCGAGGCCAGAGGTGGTGGTGCCCGCAGCCCAAGACCCCCAAGACCACAAAGTTACTGATTGCGCACCGCGCCTCTCTGCCCCCGCCCATTTATAAAAACAAGCCCCATCCCCTCCACGCACGCGCTCCTCCCC